ACAATCTGTTGCATTTATTTTGCCATTTTATAAATCATGAGGAAAAAAAAGAGATCACAGTTTTAAATTAAAATTATGCTGGGCTAATTGAAACTTTGTGTTATTAGTTAAAATAGTATTCTTTAAATTATCTATTTTATCTTGTCTTTTAATTTCAATCATGCCTTTGTATCAAAATGGTCGCTATGCATTATAATGAAAAATTATTTTAGTAAGTTAGAGCTTCTAAAATATTGTTATAATATAGTTTTAATATTAATTTAATTTTGATTAAGCATTTAAAAAGTTTTTTTAATCAGAAATGAAAGTTCTTACAGTGTATTTGAATAAAAATCAAAAAAATCTGATTTAAATAAAATAAAAAATCCGATTTAAATCAAAAAAATCGCGAACCCTGACTATAATTAGTATAATTTAGACTATAATTGTACTTGTGGTTCAATGACATTTTTAACTAGATTGGTCATAATTTATTTTAAAAATTAAGTTTTTATTATTCTGTCTCAATTAACCCTTTATATCACCTTGTTGCATATCTGCAACATACACAAAAAGCCTATGTCTTTGCCCCAACAAATTTTGAAGGACGATTTCGGCGATTGTCGGCCAAAACCAGTGCGCCAAGATGAAATTGGGCACTGGCCTATTTGGGTTAACAAAAGAATCAGATGCAAATACCCAAAATGCAAAGGATTTACACAAACTATTTGTGAGAAATGTGGTGTAGGACTTTGTTACAACAAAAGTAAAAACTATTTTAAAAATTTTGATATGACTTAAAATTTTTGAATCTTTCAATCTTAGTGCCATTTTTCACAATGCTGCAGGAATGCAACAAGCACTTTTTTGTCATTTTGCATAATGTTGCAGAAATGCAACAAAAAAAAATTTTCCGATAATTTTTTTTATTTTATGTTGTAAAATTTTTTTATTATTTTTTACATGCTTAGAATGATGTATTCCAGTGTATGAGTAATTTTTATTAAAATCAGAGATGTTGAGATATGAAGGGTTAAAAGTAAGATATATATGTGTAACTAATATGATTCGGTTAAATCACTCTATTACATCAAGATTTTTACATTTTTTTCAGTTCCTGTTCTATAAAATATTGTTATTAATAATTCATGTGCTTATGTGTTTTGAAATTGATATGTTTTTGCATCTCATTGTATTTTGAGTTGTTTTTAACAGTGGCTTTTAATTTTAGACTGGAACTCTGACTGAAGAAGGACTTGATTTTTGGGGTATCATTCCTACATTTGAGGGAAAGTAAGTATACTTCTTTGTTTTTTTCCTTCTTAACAATAACTTAATGCCAATTTTTCAAGCATTAAAATATGTTTTAAAAAGTTTTTTTTTTTTTTTTTTTTTTGAGATGGAGTCTCGCTGTGTNTTTTTTTTTTTTTTTTTTTTAATGAGTGAACCATGATGTACAGTCGTCTTCTACATAACTGTCATAAAGAATGATCATTTGACCAATAGATGTCAATCAATCACTTAACTTGAATTATTAAGCATTACTTTAAGTCTTAACTTACTAATATTGGAACAAAGCAATTAACAAGTGGCCTTATTTTACTTAATTTTTCGGCTGTTTTCTAATATTTTCCTAGCTGCGAACTTTTATGTATTTAAACTCTATTATTTATTATTTTTTTTTGCATTCAGGCTCAAATTTATGTTAAGAATCTACTAATACAGAAAAAAAAATCATAGTTTTTTTTTCCTTCCAATTTATGCTAATAACTGCACTGTTGATTAGAATAAGAAGTAAAAATTGAAAACATGTAATATCCTCTGCATTTTAAATAATTTCTTCAATTTTGCAATGAATCTTTAGCATTTCAAAAAATGGGAGTTGGCATTTTTCAGAAAGTGAACATCTAGAGGCAAAAGAGAGCAAAATAATTTTTGTGTGTGTGGGGGGGAAGAATATGGTAATTAAATTACACCCTGAAATTGCAGGTTTTTCATACCATACTTCCAAGTATAAGAACAAAGAGCAGAGCTTCTGATTTGTGTGCTAATTTAACCAAATTCCGCATTTTTAAGACCATTGATTTGCCTTAAAATCCGACAAAATTTTCATTGCGATCTAAAATTTAAAGTAAGAGTGGTGGCTCAGAGTAAGAATTGAGAGTTCTGGAATCTAAAGTTTAAATTTTAAAGCTTTTGCTAAATTGCGTTAATGAAACGTTTACCTACATGTGATTCTCCCGTCAATTCGAAGTATTATTATTTTTTTTGGTTAGTTGGATTTTTGGTATTTTTAATATTTGAAACAACGCTGTAATCCGCTAATATCGCAATTTATGTTCACATTGTGAATCATATTCATGAGATTTAAAAATTGTAAGACTTTACTCGTATCCACGTGATTTAAAAATTCAATATCGAAATTTGTATTTAAAGTTTTTTAAATCAATATTGCAAATTGTATTCATGCATTTTTAAAATCCAATAATGCAATTCGTCACTCGCGCGATTGATATTCATTTTCGCGCATTTGTAATATCAAATGTTGATTTTTGTGTTTATGCAAATTAAATATCTAACATCACAATTTGTATTTTCGAGTTCTTGAAATTCACCCGATTTTAAAATCCAATATCGCATTTCTTTTAAGAATTAAATTTTTTCTCAAATTAGGTGATATTTTTCATTAGTAGGTAATTTAATTATAAATCTTAGTTCTAAAAATTATATTAAACATGCATAGTATGTAAATTTATGTTGAGTTTTTGTTCGTAAAATTTTCTTGTTTTTTCACTTTGTATCGCAACACATATTTTTATCGAATAGAAATTGATGCAAATTAGTCTATGAGCTACAGAAAAAAAAGCCAGATTTTTAAGCTTTAAAAATTCTAAATCTCTACTCACAGAGTGTGTACAGACTCTTTATACTCCTTAGAAACTCCTTGGAAATAAAAGTCCCCAAGGAGTATTTGGAACTACTTAGATTTCCAAATTAGTCCTTAGAAACTCCTTAGATTATTGCATTGCATTGCATAGGTGAACTTACTAAGTCCGCTGATGAATTTGCTGTCTAAGCAGGGAAACTAAATGATGACTGCCAAAATCTAATAGTTTAAGAAAAACTTTAAAAGAAAAAAAAATTGAATTGCAAGAGTTAGAAGAAAAAAATAACTACAAATAATTTTAGTTTTACATTTTTCAAGCAAACTTAATAATTTACTGTGATTTTTATTTATTTATTTTTTTTTTTTTTTATGTTNATTGTTAGGTTTTTATGTTAATCTTTAACATCTGTACTTTAACAAGATTTATTACAATATTTGAAACTGTAAAATGTATTTATGTGTAAAAGTGATAGGTGATTATTTTTCTTGATGAAGTTTGACAAAGTCAAAATTTATTTCAAAAGGGTTAGAGAAAAAATATGCAAAATATGCATTTTTGCAAGTTCCTTATAATAACTGCTTTTTAATTTTAAAAAAAAACTTTCTAGTTATCTTTTACACAAAGTTTTTAAATTTTTGATAAGTCCTTAAATTTTTGAACTCCTTGGATTTCTTCTTCTGATTTCTGTATGAACCCTGTTCTCAGTGCTTTTAACCAATTTTACCAACTGTTCTTGGCTGTTTCTTATCTTATTGTAAAGAAAGTTTTAAGAAGATATTGTATTTTCGCATGTAAAGAATATATTTCTCTGACATTAGAATAAAATAGAATTATGCAATTTGTAAACTAAATTGTATTTGTTAAACTAAAAGAAATATGAATAAAGAATAAGAATTTGGGATAATTTTTGCATGCTATGATTATTTTTCCATTTTAGATTTAGAGAACTGGAACATACCGCTCATAACTTAAACGACAAGAGCCGTATGAAAATTTGCATGTCCTCATGCCATTCTCTTACTATTATTGACAATGAATTGAGAGGTGATCCAATGGATTTGAAAATGTTCCAAGCAACAAAATGGGTCAGTTGATTTCATTATTGATTTTCTTATTGTCTCTTGTATAAATTTCAATTAATTAAGTAGTTCTACAGCTAGTGAAATTTATTCTCAAAATGGTAGAAAAAAATGAATAAGTAAGAAGTTTTAATTAGGTAGCTATTTAATTTAATCTACCATTTAATAAAAAAAATATCTTTATTATTAGGTTAAGAAATCTGTTAATTTAAAGAAAGAATAAATGAAATCATAGTATATTGCTCGAATAAGTAAACTATCATTCTCTTCTTGAGTAGTGATGTGAAAAAGTATCTAATATATTTATTTGTTTTTCAGAATAATTAAATTAAGTATTTTTATAGGAATTGGAAGAACCTGGTAATGATACCACTAAATTCGATGTTTTGATTCCTACTGTTGTTCGTCCAACTACAGAAACACTGCCTTTATGCAATGGTGTTGAATCGGGAGACATTATGGTGAGTTCATGTTTTTTTTAATTGAAAAATATATGTGCAAATAACAGAGAAGAAAAATCTACTGGACTCTTAAAGATATGAATCTATTTATATTAATTAACTATAACGTATTACTAATTCTAATTTTTTCAAATTCATAGCTCTAGGTATTTTTAAGTTAAAAAGAGTGGCTTAGAATGACTTAAGCTTCCCATGGTTATCTTTAGTTAGATTTCCTTGGAAGAAAGAGTTTAATTAAACTTTGAGTGGGAATTTTTCTTATATAAATCATACTTTTATCTTGCAATGTGATTGTATCCTTCTCAAAAGGTGATGAAAATCCAGATATTTGTTTTATTTATAATTTTTCTAAGTTTTGTCTGTTTTGTATATTTTTTCTAAATTTTTCTTTTACATATTAGATTAGAATTTTTTGTTTCCAAATGCAAATATGCTTTACTACTTATGTATTTATTGTATGTAGCATATAATAAATATATATTTGTGTATAATTACATGCATGACTAAATTTTACTAAACAAGAGTAAATCGTAGAAAAAAATAAACTCTTATATTTAAATTTTTACAAAAATCATCAAAGAAATATGTTTTAAAAATTCTTCTAAAATTAAAATTTTCCTTAATTGTTACAAGCTTTTGATTTAAAAAAAACTATATAAATTAGTATAAAAATAAAGGCAAATTTTGTTTTTGAAGGAATTGACTACCTAATTTCCTCATGGCTTTTATCTATTGGGTCTTTAATAAATCATCTTATTTAAATGGAATGACAATTTTAAATAATATGCATATTTAAATATTAATATATTATTTTGCTCAAATATTTAAAAAAAAAATTTGAACTATAGTAAATAAGCATAAAACAGTTTTTATATTCCCTTACTGTATTTCTGTTGTAATTATTTTCCTTTGCTGTAAATTTTACTTGATTTTCCTTGTTTCACTTTTATTTTTATGTACTTATGCTTATTTATGTATATGGTGTCTGTTTTCTGTGCATCTGTTAAATATGATATTTAAATTAAAATATTTAAATTGAAAATCTTGAGGAAATTTTTTTGGTAAACATCTAATGCTAATTGGTTTGGTAATTTTATGTGCTACTCCACAAGCAAATAAAATCAGTAGTTTCACAAATTATCATTTAATTAAATAGCTATTACTAGTTTAATTAATTAATTTTTCTTTCAATTTCAATATTTGTCATTTCTCAAAATATCAATAATGGTTTTTAAAAAGATATCCAAAATAGTGGCTGCCTAAAATAGTAGTTCTGCTTCAATTTTTTTTCCTTCAAACATTATATGTGTGATATTTATCATGACTTTTATACAAGTAATTTTTTGTTTTTAGAATGACTTTTTATAATCATCAAACTAAAAGTAGGAATCTGGACAAAGTACATAATATTTGTCATGACGATTTGAGTGATAAATTAGAAAATGGACTTTTTTAATCAATTGACGTTATTTCCCTATTAAGTATAATTTAAGAATTCTTTGTGAATTAGTTTATCCCTTTTTATAATTTATATTAAATGAAGTTCCTGAAGGTAGGGGCATGTAAAAAAAAAAATAGCTGAATGAAATTATCCGCTTGGCTTTATCAAATCATCGTTATGAATCAGTTAAGGTTGTTAAAAATTTTCTATTTTATGTTTTGTTTACAGTTAACTCAAGAAACTAGTCATGAAAGTAAATTACTTAGTATACCTATGTCTCCTACTAAAGACTGCTCACTGCTTGAAGAGGTATTTTATATTTTCTTTTACAGCATGCTATTAGTTATCTTAAATGGAGTTGCTTTATTTCATTAGTGTTCACAACTATTTCTTTGTTTAAAAAAATGATCGAAACAAAATGGGGGAAATATTTATAATTTTCTTATATTAAATTATGATTTTCAGTTGATAATCAGAGTGGCCATAGGACAAGGAGAAAATTAATGAGAGGCCAAGAAACTTTGTTTTATTTTCCAAAAATCAGAGAAAACAGCTTAATTTGGGTTTTCAGGCAATGGGCAATCCCTTCCCCCTACGGAAAAGGGTGCAAATGTCTGTTCTGAAGTTTAATTTTGGTTCAATTTATAATAAATCGATGTCTTCTGAAATTTTTGTTGACTCATTAATAAATTTATATATATTGTATTTATGAAATTAAGTCAAAATTTTATTAACAAAAAGGGTTTCTTGAGCTTCAATGCGTTTCTTGAGATACAATGAGCTTCTAGTCATTTTAGTTACCTTGTACTAGTACTATTGGTACGTACTAGTTACTTGAGTTACCTTCGATAAGTCATTAAAAGCAGCAGAAGAAAAATTTGCTTACATTTCTGCTACTATTAAAACTGAATCCTTCATTAGTAAGTTTTTTTTTTTTTTTTTTTAATTTTAAGTAAAAATGTTTTGTAATATATTTTACATCTTTATAGATAATACAGAATTGAAAAATCAATAATAAAATTTATGCAATCAGTTACAAAAATCAGAAAATGAAAGTTCAGAATCAGAAACTAACTATTTATTCATCAAATTTCTTTTATTTTACTGTAATTAAACTAAACCGAGCAACTGAGATTCTACCTAATTAAGAAAACGGAAGCAGGAGAAAAAAGAATTTCCATTTTGCTTAGATTAGTTTAAGGATCTTAAAAACAGCGTTGTTTAAATCTATGCTGTTTTTTTAGTCAGCTAACTATTGTTATATTTTAACCTAAATTGGAATTCTTGTATAGATACCTGGTTAAATTACTTTTTCTCTACCCCTTCCATCAATGCAATTCATTATTAATCCAAATTTTCTGAATTTTTTTTGTATTATTAAATTTCATTTAGATGTAATGGATAGCACTTTTGATGATGTAATCTTAGCAGATTATGTAATTATAGATAAATACAATTATAAATTTAATTATGTTATCATACTTTTTTTAGTTTAGCCTAGATCATGTGCTGTTTTTCTACTTTATGTGCTGTTTTTTTCCCAGCATGTTTGTCTGACTAGTTTCATTCTTGTTCTTTACCAGAGCTTTACCCCTTGTACCAGAGCTTTATTGTTATTACATTTCAGCCTGTGATCTTTTAATTTTGTGTATTCCTATGTGCTGAGCTATGTTTTTTTTCTTGACATCTTTTAATGTCATTTTTAAAGTAAAATAATTATGTTTATTTTTCTATTTTTGACTTGCAATCCCCCTCCCCCTCCTTTTTTTTTTTTTTTTTTTTTTTTTTTTTTTTTTTTTTTTTTTTNTTTTTTTTTTTTTTTTAATTAACCAATAAAATGGTTAGATTCCAAATACAGTGGATGCCAGATATAATGATCCCATGGTCTAAGCAAATATGAACAAACAATATAAGGTGAGGTTTCTATTTTGTGAATACACTAAACTCAAGTAAATATTTACTTTTAATTCCTAAATACTAGACTTATTTTGACAAAAACATTCTCTTATGCATATTTTTCAAAATATTTAATTTCTGCTCTAGCCTTAATTTAAACAGCCTTTTTTTACTAAATAACATGCCCCCAGAGTGCGAATTTAGCTGTAACAAACCACATGTTTTAACTCTAAAATAAACCACTTCTTAAAACACTTTACAGAAAGAGTGAATGTAGTTTTTCAACAAGAAAAATATCGATTTATTGAATTCTTTTTAAAGAGATATCCAGTCGTTAATGAGAGATTTAAGATTCCAATTTAAACATGAGGATGCAATACACATTGGCATTAGGTTATGACAAGAACTAAAGATAAGAGCAGTAGAATTCAAGATGTTTATTGAGAAAAAAATAATTTGCATTTTTTTAGACTTTTGCTATGCATTGATTCATTGTCAATGGGGGGGGGGGAGTTGTTTTCGAAGTGCGGAAAGTTTAAAGCTTGCTTTTGGGGTGATATTCTTGAAATAAGTAAGAAAATGAAACAAAATAATGGCCATTTTGTTGTAACTGTTGAGTTTTGATATTTTAATGTTGGTTAAAATAACAAACATTCTCTGGAATATTAAATGGGACTTAGCTGTCCATATAATGGTATGGCCGTACTAATTGGGGATCTGCATAAACTGTAATTAGAAATTTTAAAAGTCTAATTTTGTTAAAAATATTTGTTGTATTTTTGTGGTTTTATTAAATTTATCATTGGTAAGTTAATTTTATGTATATATCTTATCCTGAACTATTTTTATAAAAATCTTCAAATACTTGTTTAGATACTCCAGGACTTAGTTCTGTTTTTCTGTGAGTACATTAATTGTGCTTCATAATTCATAAATATTTATTTTTATACTTAGAATCCTCCCTACGAAGTAGGTATTATTCGCCAATTCCCATTTTCTTCTGGTCTTCAACGAATGAGTGTTATTTGTAGAACTTTAGGAGCTGAACATTTTGATTTATATTGCAAGGGAGCACCTGAAAAAATAACCTCTTTGTGCCTTTCAGAAACAGGTTATTATTTTTATCTATGGTAACTACTTTAAATTTGTTTTAGGGCTAGGAAATTTGTTATTAAATTTTTTTTTTCTTTTTAGTACCAGTTAATTTCCCTGAATTGCTTAAGCATTATACTGTACAAGGTTACAGAGTTATTGCTCTTGCCTATCGAGAATTACGTCCTGATCTCAGTTGGCGTAAAGCTCAAAAGGTTAAACGGTAAGTTTGAACTAAAATCTAAAATTCTTTTTTAAGTATACCAAAAATGTTTCTCTTATTTTTCTTAATGTAAGTTTTGTTACTTTTCATATTTATTATTTAATATTTATTTTATTTGCGTAGAATTTTTTAAATGAATTATTAAAAATTATATTAAATTTAGCACCTGATGTTAATTTTTTGAAAAGTGAATGTATTGTATGACATATAGATTAAGTGAGTAAATTTAAATTATGTTACAATCTGATTTTATTCTATTAGTTTTATTTTATTTTACAAACTGCTTTTATTCAATTAAATTTATTTTATTTTACAATCTGATTATATTCAATTAAATTTATTTATATTACAATCTGCTTATTTGTTTTAAAGTAAAATTTGATACTGTGATACATTTTTGATGATTTGTTATTGATTTTCTTTTTCCCAAATTTTTGAGCTAAACCATGCTACAGAACTTCTTAACTTGCAGGAGTTCATGATTATGATTGATAGTGGTAGTGTTCAGCAATGTTCATGGCTCAAAAGAAAGCTCTTATGTTAATTGTGTATTTCATACAATATGTAGAAAAACATTTAAAAATAATACTCCTTTTATTAGTTAAAAGTGACATCTAGTTAAGTTAGAACCCTTAGTCAACAATAAGGGGTTTAAGACTTTGAACTGAAGCCTTATTTTAATTCCAGCCTTTTAAATTATATTTCAAAGGATAGACAGCAAAGAATTTTTAGTTGATAAAATATGTAGATTCTAATGTAATGCTTAAATCAATGTTAAATATTGTCTTAATTGTTTTCTGATATTTTTTGGGAAACCTGGAATTTCTGTTAGTTGTATTTGATGAATTTTGTATGTCTTTTCTTTGTTTTCGGAATGTTGAGCTTAGAATGAAATCCTGCATCTAGAATAAAGCATTTTTAAAGTCCTTAATGTTTGCTTTGATAAAAGAGTTGGAACTCTATCTTTTAACTTAATTTTTTTTAGGTTTTGTTAAACTGCATTCATGATTTACCGTCTTCCATTCATAAGAAAATTATAATGGTGCTTAATTCATAAATTCTGCAAATAAGATATCTGAATTTTTTTTATTTTGAATCTCAAAAATTTTTATTGTGGTGAGGCATAGAAGCGCATCCCTTACTCACACAGGCAGGCCACCCACATTGAAAACATGGAAAAATCAGGCAATTTCAAAGAAAAGCTGGAATTTTTCTCTTATTCTAAATTATTTTACCTTCCGCTTTATACCCACTTTTTTAGACAGAAATTAATCGCGTAACAGTTGAAATATCAACTTAGCAACTCTTTTTCTTGCATCAAAATTCGCTCCTTTATGTACTTGTTAAACTAGAATGCCGCATGAAACTCCCCCATGGTTGCTAAATGAATGAAGTAACCTTTGACCTCTTAGGAGACAATGGGACTATGCAGTTTCGAAAAGGCAAACTTTTGTAGTGTGTGTGGAAGAAGGGGTTAAGATATTTACTTCTGTTTATAAAAGCAGGATTTTTTTATATTTTAGTCCGTGAGCTAAATCCATTTATTGTTCAAGTTCGTTTCAATGCTTTGTCAGTATTTTTTTTTCTTTTGACAAAATGATTAAAAATGTTTCAGTATTTTTAACTTTATAAAAAAGCCAATCAATCACAATTTTTTTTACAGCAGTGTCGCTAACAGCAACATTTGTGGACAAATCTTTACTATTGTTACATTGATGCTAATTTTCTCGATTTCATCGTAACCTTTAATAACATGTTATAATTGAAAAAGGACATGTTTTAATATTTTAAGAACAAACTGTATGTTAAAATTTAATTTTGCTGTTTAAATGGGAAATATTCTATTCTTGATTCACAATTCAAATTGTGAAGTAATCACAATGTTGAAAGTTCCTAATTGTTGCTAGCATTCCAGAGATAATACTTCTGAAACTGTTTCTCCTTTTTACCCTAAAAATCTGGCAAGAACTAAGGAATGTATGAGAAACATGTTAAATGATGTATAAGCATGGAATATAAAAAAAAAACTTTAATTCATATGTTAATAAAACTTTGTTTTCTCTGTACTGTACAGGTACAGGTTTCTAGTTGTGAAACCATAAGCGTTTAACTTATCTAAACTAAAAATATTGGAATTCTTGAAATACTTTAATTTAGAAAACATAATGATATAAATTTTATCTAGATTTTTTTCTTTTCTTGAGTATGCAACAAGAAATTTGACAATTTTGTGTTTGCAGAATTTATCTTTGAATGCTAGATATTTCTTAAAACAATAATTCTAATTATAAACCTGCAACTTTTATTTAAACATTTGAATTAAAATGCTGGGTTATGGAAAATATGATTACTGAATTTCATAAAGAGCTCTATTTAGATAAAATACAGTATAAAATGGCTTTATATTGAAATATCTATAAATATAAAAATTTATTGATGTCTAATTGCCTTGAACTAGTTTCTTTTGCTTAATGAAAATATATTAAACAATATTTATCCAAGGTTTTCTTTGGTCACACTGTATTTTATGTTTGGTACACTTTTCTAAAAACTACTTAAAGTAATCCATTAGAACATTTTTATTCAAGAAAATTAATATATTCTACAAGCTAAACATTTTATTTTGCCCAATTCTCAATTTCAATTTTTGCCATCTCAATTTTTAAAAAATTAATGTTCTGCCAGAACGTTAAAAAAAAATTAAAAAATCTTTCTAAGTTGTTAAGACAAATTAGGTTTGATTATTTTTTCAAGATGATATATTTAAAAAATAACATTTTAAATAAAATACTTTAATATCGGCGCTTCTCTTGTCCCATCCTGCACTTAATGAGGGGGGAAAGAAAAAAACATACAACACACTGACCAGAAATTTTCAGATTTTTACCTGGAAAAATCAGGAAAATTTGAAATCTGATCCACATTGTATGGATTATTTTTAAAATCTAGCAAGCTAAAAAAAAAAAAAAAAAAAAAAAAAAAAAAAAAAAAAAAAAAAAAAAAAAAAAAANAAAAAAACAATTATCTGGAATAATTTTGACTCTATATTTTTACATTGTTTAAATGTTTTAAATGCATTACTGCTGTATGATATTTATTGTGTAGCATACATGTAGTGCCATCAACAAAAATGATAAAAGTTTATGATGCTTTTTTACTTTATATATTTTTAATCATTTTACAGTGAATTGTGATGTATAATTTATAGTAAAATATTGTAATTTTATGGAAAATGTTATCTTGTGATCTTGAAAAAAAATTATAGTACTATTTTTTCTTTAGTTGAAATTTAATAACAAATATTTTTATTTTATAAAACACATTAAAATTACAAATCTCAATTTTTATAATTTTCACTTTGAAATTGATAAATAAACATGTTTCATTTGTAGGGAAGATGTGGAAAAAGATCTGACTTTCTTAGGGTTGCTGATTTTACAAAACACACTAAAACCTCAAACAACTCCAGTCATAAAAACTTTGTCAGATGCCAAAATTCGTACAGTTATGGTGACAGGTTTGTAAATATATATATATGTCACATAAATCTTTATACTTTTTTCATAGAATTCTTTAGTAATATCATTTTTCTTGTAGGAGATAATGTCATGACTGCTTTGAGTGTTGCACGTGAATGCAGTATGATACCGGAGTCCGACAAAGTCATAGTTGTTAAAGGTTTTCCGCCTGACCATGAAAAACCTGCTTGTTTAAATTTTGAGTATGCTGATATTCCAAGCATGAGCCATTCAAACTCTACTTTATCTGAAGCAGTTTCATCAATTCATGGAGATTGCAGTCCTGTGGTAAATTATTTACCTTTCAAATTTTTTTTATATCTTAAGATCTTGAAATATAAAATTTAATTTATTCTGTTTCAAATTCAGTTTTAGCACATAAATATATTAGTTATAGAAAATTTCAGTAAAAATTCATTAGCATGTCACAACAGGGTGCATACAGACCCCTTATACTGCTTAGAAACTCCTTGGAAATAAAAAAAAGTCTCCAAGGAGTACTTGGAACTACTTAGATTTCTAAATTAGTCCTTAGAAACTTATTTAGATTATTGTGTTGCATAGATGAACTTACTAAGTACGCGGATGGATTTGCGAAAAAAATAAATAATTTTAATTTTACATGTTACAAGCAAACTTAACCAATAATTTACTGTGATTTTTTTTTTTTTTTTTTTATAAAATGTTTGTTATNCCTTAGATTTTCCTATGTATTCAAATTTAAAAATATGAGATTGGTAGGTTTTTATGTTAATCTTTATCACCTGTACTTTAACAAGATTTATTAAAACATTTGAAACTAGAAAATGTATTTATGTGTAAAAGTGATAACTTTATTTATTTTTCTTGATGAAGTTTGACAGAGTCAAAATTTATTTCAAAAGGGCTAGAAAAAGATATGCAAACATTAATTTTTGCTAGTTCCTTATAATAATTGTTTTTTAATTTAAAAAAAACTGTCTAAAAAAACTTTGTGTAAAAGATAACTAATTTTTGATAAGTGGATTTCTTCTTCTGATCTCTGTATCAACCCTGGTCACAGAAGCGGATAAAGTTTTTTTGTGGTATATTTATTATTAATCAACCATAAAAATTATAAATGTTATAAAAATTATAAATAAAAAAATTATGTCAATTTTTTTTTTGTTACTTTATCCTTTGACGAGATATTGACTATTATTTGACATATCTCATATTTACTATTAACTGTAAAAGACATTTTCAATTTTGTTTTGCCAGTTTCAATGACTAGGAAATTTTGTCATGTAAACCAACAGTTTAGTAAGAAAAGCAAAATGAATCTACCAAAAACTTAGATTAAGCTGGTCACATTTTATTGAAGTAAATGACAGATGCATAACAAAGCTTCCAGGCGAGACTGAAAAAGATGCTTGGTTACAAAAGAAAAGAAAAAAATGACTTGGAGAATCTTCAAGAAATTTATAAAATTATCATTAGCTTGATATTGCCAAAATAGTAAAACCATCTTGTTGTAGATGGTTAGGTCATTCATTTAGATATAATGCATATTCAGGATAAAAAATAATATTTTTCAAGGATTGACAAAAAGCAATGAATGGGCTCAAAACAGTTGCCCAGTAGATGCCTCTGCGATTCTGAAAGAGGTCTAAAGGAGATAGAATAAATAAAGAGCTATTGCGCTGATTAGAGTCAAATGGGATGAACTTGAAAAAAGTGCCTTACAGGCTGCAGTGTGAAGAGATCATCAGTTGTTAATTTATGTTTTATCTTAGGGATATTAGTAGTAGACTGGATATTATTCGTATAAGTATAACTTCTTTTTCTGTTAGTGTTTAATAAATTACAAGTATTATAGCTGAATAACCTGAATTTTTTCCCTTCCTGACAGTTGGCTCGTTACATCGAAACAAAGTTTAATAATTATCATTTTGTAATGGATGGTAAAGCATTTGCAGTCATACGTTCTTATTTTCCTGAATTGCTTAATAAGGTAAAATTTTCTACACATGAATATTTAATCTTAAATGACTGAATGGTTAAAATTTTTGAATTCTATTTTCTGTTCTCTCTTTTTTAGGTTCTTCTTCGTGGTACAGTCTATGCTAGAATGAATCCAGATCAAAAAACTCAACTTGTTGAATCTTTGCAAGCCATTGGGTACTTATTATATTAAATTGATATGATTACTATTTTAATTTACTGAAATTTTGTTTGTAAATAAATTTCTTTTAAAATTCATAAATTAATATTATGGCTAATGATGAAAGGAAAAAATGAATAAAGAGTGCAAACTTTTCAGTAGTTTTTAATTGATTTTTTTCATTACATGTTCATGGATTTTATTTTCATACATTTTTAGTTGATTATTTTGGTTTGAATTTGATCTTTTTCTGCCATTCAATTTTATACTCATACCGATTTATTGCCAACTCTAGTTTTTGACAATTGAAAATATTTTTTAATTGTAAAAATTAAATGAAATTCTTTTGAAAAAGACCACACACACTTACCTTTTTTTTTGTAATGTGTTTTTTTTTTCATCTCAAAAGTTGGAAAGGTTTGATAAACTACAGATCAGATTATTTTAATTGGCAGCTGATTCATCAATATAACTTAACAACATATGTATTTTTGTTACCATGATGTCCTTATTGTTAATTAAATCCTTTAAATGAATTTTAGTAGTATATTTATCATAATTTAAAGCAATAACTAATTTTGAAAAAATTATCTTGCATATTTATGTGTGAATTTTCATGATTTTTAACCTTACAATATACTTACGTCCCAATTACCATAATGCCTGCCTTATGTTAAAAAAAAAATTCTTCATAAAGTATGTAAGCTGTGTAAAATTTTGAAAGTTTTTATTCTTTTAAATGTTTTTTTTTCCTCTTCCATAAAGTAAATGTAGGTTCCACTTGCTATTGCAGAATACTATTCCTCCTGCCTTTTTTTTTATTTCTTTTTCTTAATTTCATCTCGGTCCTGAGCATAGTTTCTAGTTTGGTTTTGTTACCTTGAGTCTTCATGTTAAGTTTTTTAAACCTTTAGTTTCATACAGATATATTTAGTTATAGAATGAATATATACTTTTTATTTGCCATTTTAATTCATTGTTTTCTGCAGATATGTCGCAGGAATGTGTGGTGATGGTGCTAATGATTGTGGTGTAAGTATTATGTTTTCAAGAAAGCTAGGAATTAAATTTTCTTTCTTTATTATTTTTTCAATTTATAATTGTGATATTTATAAGTATTTGATGTTAGTTACATGTACAATTATGCTCAAAATTATTTTCTTATCTTACATAATATTAAGTTTGAACAGTTTACCATAATAAGTAATAATTTTATTATTTTACGTGTAAAATCTATTACCTAAATAGAAATTTAGGAAGGTTTTTTTCAATAACTATTTTTCTTTGTATTAGTCGCTTAAATATGATTCAATTAAAAATTATGCAGTTACTTAGTTTGCATTGTATAATAAAGTATGTAACAAATTCACATAAGTAATTATTTTATGTGAATTTTTTATATAAGTATTTCAATACTAATCTGAAACATTCTAATTTTTAAAAAAAATATTTTTTTAAAAAATTATTATTCATAATTAAATCTGTTCGTATTATTAATATTTAAGTCTATCAAGAGCGTAACTCTTCTTTCATGATATAAAAGTTGTAATTTTAAAAAAAAATTTCAATTTGAACTAGTTAGGACTGGGCTATAAATCGATATATCGCGACATATCGATTTAACGCCTATATCGGCAAACCGATACAGCAACTGTCATTCCAAGCGATGCATCAGAAATCTGATTTAAGCCGTCGAGTGAAGAAGACGATATAACGATATAGCGATACACGCAAGGACTTTCTCTTACGTTCCGATGCCAACTCGCGCTGTGGAAGACGATATTGTTTCGTTATGTTGAGACGGCCTTGACTGATGAGCGGTAGAATCAGAATCACTTTTGAAATTTAAAAACTGCTGATCACATGTTCGTTTTCGCACCTTCGCGATTTGAAATCGTTTCTTGTAGATTATTTTCAATGGGATTAACTTCGTGATCGCCGTCGTAATCTTGTTCTGAACGCAATCTATTATTGAAAAGAATTTATAAAGAAAAGTTTCTTCATTAATTAGGTAAGTTTTTTATTTATTTTCTGACAAAACTTTTTTTATATTTTTAAATGTGAAAATTATCGGAAATCTAATTTAATACATCCATAAGGAATTAAATTACAAAGTAAATAAATTTGTTAGGTTATTTTTTTACTTTCTTTTAATTTATTAAAAGCCTTTCGGATAAAACTTCTAATAATTTAATGGGCTTCTATTACTGATTTTAAATTTATAAATCTTGAGTTGTTTTTATTTTTAGAAATAAAGTTAAAACAAAACTTATTTTTTGGACATAAGTCAATAAACTTTATTTGTTCAAAAGAATTTGAAAAGTTTGCGAATTTTATTCATTTCTTTTTTTTTTTTTTCAATTACTACTTCGTTTTATTAGAGAGTAAAATCATTATTTTTTTTTAATTTTCGTTTTATATTATTAGTTAATTAGCTAAATATATTACCGAATATCACAATTCTTTTGTTTTTATTTTTAAGAATTTAATTAAGAAACTTTGCCTTACTTTGTTTTTCGTTCATAATTCGGTCATTATTTAATTTAATTTAATTATTTATATGAAATAATAATAAAAATAGTGTTTAAGAAGCATTTTTTTTCTAAAATTTATTTAGCTCTTTGTTTTAAGCATACAAATAATTTTTTAACGAACTTATTTTTTAAATTTTGTTCCTATGCTGTTAGGTAAATATATTGATAAATTTCACTTTTATTTATTTTTTTATTTTTAAACTAAGAAATCTTTTGTTATTTGCGTGATCATTTTTAGAAAATATAACAAAACTTGTGTTTACTTCTTCATTAAGAATTTGAACATTACGATCGAACTTAATAATTCTGTAATTATTTACGCATAATAGTACAAGCAAATATTGATTTGTTAAAAAAAGTTTCTTTTTTTTAAAAAAAAAAATATTTTTAACACTTTGTTTTAAGTGTATAATGAATTTCTTAACAAACTTTTTTTTTAATTTTTTAAATTTTCTTTCAATAATTTCAGCTAGATATCTTTATAAAATTCCCTTTTTATTTTTAAACTGAGAAATCTTTCAGAGAACGAAAATTTTAAGAAATTATTACAAATCTTATGTTTACTTTTTAGTTTAAAATTCGAACATTTTTAATTTTAAACTTCGGCTTTTAGTCAATCTAACTTTTATTTTAATTAAAATATATTTTGAAATTTTAAAATCAGCTTTTGTTTAATAACAATATTTTTTTTCATTAAGGGTGTTTTAGGGGTTAACTTAAATTAAGACTGCTTATACCTTATAAACGATAAAGAAGTGCAAATATTTCATTCTGTATCTACACACATTTTTTCAATAAATATTTTAAGTAAGATTTGTACATCTTAGTCAATTTATTTAATATCTTTCTTTAGCAAAACATATATATTTTCAAATTTATAAATTGATTTAAATCAATATGCGTATGAAGTCTTGATAGAAATCTGACTTTCTGTGCCTTAAAGTAAATGAAATTCAAAAATACTATATCGCGATACATCGCTATATCGCGATGCAAAACTGACGATATATCACGATATATAATTTCTAATATCGCCCAGTCCTAGAACTAGTCTTATGATTTATTGATATTTGTTTCACCAATTATAAATTTTACATAATCATTCTTTGTTGCTCTTAATTTGTTAGCATACAAATCTTAAAAGGAGAAATCGTTTTGAATTAGTTGCAAGGAATATTTTTAAAAAAAATCTCTAAATGGTTTTAAAAATAATTTTCTTTTCAAAAAAACATATGTTAATATGTAAGTTCAATGCAAATAAACGATAAATATTCTTATTCAGTACATATTTGTTAATGAAACTTATATCTTTGATCCTTTGCAGGCTTTGAAAGCTGCAGATGTTGGTATTTCCCTTTCTGATACAGAAGCATCAGTTGCTGCCCCCTTTACTTCTAATATTGCTGATATCACATGTGTACCTATAGTGATTAGGTAATTTATTATGTCTTTTCTTAAAAATTAAGATTATGCACTCATTTAGTTAGATATTTTATTTATAAAACAAAACTGTGAGAAAAAAAACTGATCCCATTCCTGCTGATTCTTATGTTAAATGACCTTTGTTTCTTTCTACATCACCCATCTTTTTTTGGGAAAGGATTATTTTTACCTTCCTTATTTCTGCAGGTCAGCAAAGATTAATTCTAAAACATGAACATGTTGTTCATAACATTCACAAACATGTACATGTTTTAACTTAACCTGGGTGATTTTGGAAGGATTATTTCCATTAAAATGTAAAAAGTTATTAGTAACAAATTTTTTCCAAATTTAATTTTTTAAATTAAGTATAGAATATAATTATATAATATGGAATATAATATATATAATTTTTCTACATATAACCAGCTATTTTTCTTTGGTTTCTTTCTTTTTTTTTTTTTTTTTTGTTAAATTTTTTTCTTTTCTCCTTATTAATTTCATGACCATTAAAATAGTCCAATCTAAAAGTGAACTGTTTATAAATTATGATAGTGATGAGGAAAATATGTTTTGCTCAAGAATCTAAAGAAATTGTATCACAACTTTTTTTTTCCTTTAAAAAAATGCTGTTAAGTATAATTTGTACTCTATAACATTGCATTTCAAATTTTTATTCATTTTCCAAATTAAAAACACTATCAGTAACCAACTATATATTATACCTATATATTATTCTGTCTTGTTTAATTGAATTCTCTAGATTCCTTCTTTTTCATTAATATTTTGGATTAAATTTTAATCTAATTTCACATTTTTATTAGTATCAAGTTTGATTTATTTTTGAATAACATTGAATATTAATAAAAAAAAACAATTTGCAGAAGGAAAAATGCTATCAAACATGACTGAATAGTAAATTAACTAAACTTGTCAAAAAGGGGCTAAACTTGTTAATAAACTCAGCTGTTGTGTGATAATTTTAAAATTTTATTTTGTAATTTTACTTTTAATTTTTGTTTCATTTTAGAAAATTTAAATTAAAATGATTTATTATAGTGGTTGCATTCTATTTCTTATTTTATTTTCTAGGCAAGGCCGAACTGCATTAATGACATCATATGCTACTTTCAGATTTATAGCCTTATACAGTTTAACTCAATTTATATCAGTTCTTATTTTATACACAGTAAGTATCAGTATATACACAATATTTCATTCACCTATTTTTAATTTAAATTTTGTTAAATAATTTTAGTTAGTTCGAAAGTTATCAGTTTTTTTGCTATAACCAGTTATGCTTAGTCGATTGAAATTGAATTGTATATTACTATAATTATTATAAAAAGCTTTGGGTCTATGTAAATTAAAAATTTAGATATTAAGTAATAGTATGTTGTAAAATTAATTTATTAAGTCTTTTTTCTGGCATATTAAAGAGCTATAATAAATAATTTTCAGTAACACTTTTTATATTCTTAAAAGATTTCAACTATATAAGCTCAAATTTATTTTTTAAAAAAAATATTAGTTTTTTTTTATTGCCACTTTTATATTAAAGTCATTGTCTTTCATCTATAGCAGCTGGGTATATTTCTTTAAAAGTTTATGGCAATTAGCTTAAGAGTTTTTATATAAAAAAGTATAAAATTTAGGTTTGGTTTTTCTAAAAACAATTTTCTGTTAAGCTTTCTATATTTTTATTTATTGCCTCTTTAGTTTAAGAATTTGTTAAAATTCTTAAACTAAATAAGTTAATAAGTTGTAACTAAGTTAAAATTTGTGGAGTTAAGTAAAATCTTCTATTTTAATTTAGAATTTATTTTTTAATTAATAATTAGATAAATTTATTTTACTTTTACTTAGCTTAATTTTTTTTTTCAAATCAGTGTCATGTACTAATACAAAATCTGTAATGTTATTTTACACAAAATTGTTTCAAAATAAATTCATTAAATTTCATCTAATTCAAATTTTATTGTTTTTATTTATTCGTTTTAGTTTAGCTATTCCTCATACTATAAGAAATATATGCAATGTTTACATTTTGGCAATTTTGGTTTTGGTTTGGTTTAGAGAAGTACTGCATGTTTAAGTAATGGTAAAATGACAGTATTCATGCTTGTTTTTTTTTTTTTAGCATATTTTTAGATTTTTTGATGTAAAGAATTTAACTTCCATTAGTAATTTGATTTCTTTAAAATATATAATATTTTAATTTTAAATTAATAGTTTTGATAATAAGAAAAATGAATTTGCCTTGTTTTTTTCTGTATCACAATAATTTTTATTTTATTTTGCACATTGTAAATTTTAACTTTATGGTTTTGTAGTTAATTATTTTGTATTCTGTGCTTATTAGATTTTTATAGTTTTTAGTTTTGAGCATGAATTTGTTAATGGTTAGATCACTTATTTATTATTTTTCGTTTTCTTACACAATATTTTTAATATCCCTTTTATAATATAAGATTTATTCAATTTAGAAATATATATTAAAAAAAAGAAAGCTGAATTTAAACTAAAAATAAACATTAAAAGTATTTCATTATGAAATTGATATTATGTCAAAAAATCTGGCAATGAATAATCTGGAAAGGATATAGGTCTTTCATTTTTTAATAATTTTTTTTATCCTTATTTTTAATTAATATTTTCATTTTTACTTTTTATTACTTGTAAAACAAAAACTAATTAGAATATAATGACAATTTGATATCCTTGCTTGCAGTTGATCCATGTGTCAAATTTATGTGGATTGGACTGCTTAATATATATACCATAAAGTTAAAAATAGTATTTAGATAAAAATGTATCTCTTTGTGTTACAATGTTACAAAAATGTTTTATTTGGAGTATGTTTTGAATTGAGTATTTTAATTAGATTTAAAATGTTTTTAGACGAAGAAAAAAATTTAGTTTTTATACTTAAATTTCATGAATATTATATTTGTACTTGTGTAGTACAGTCTACTACTAATTATTCATCAGAAGTAAAAAATTTAAAAGAAAAAAAAGGCTAAATTTTGGTGCAATAATTGGGTTTGTTAATCTAATAAGTATCTAAAATAAACAGCTACTATTTTGGCTTAGCAGCAGTGGCATGCAGCGAGATGCGGTCCACACCCGTGGGTGGCGGAGCAGGTGGCTCTTCGTGCCGTGGGCTAGAAACAGTCATTTATTGGCTGGCCAAATCCTGCAATTCCATCTCGCCTCACTCCCAAGGCGTAGGCCTTCTGCCATGGGGGACCGGTTAACATTGTTTCTTAGGGACATGGTAGGTTATTTAAGAGGTTAGTATTATTTAATGCCTGGTAGCAAATGTGTGTAACATTGTAAGTATTTGTCTTTCTCCTGTCTTTTATATTACTTTTAAATTAAATATATATGTACATTAATCTGTGAATCACTCTATTACTCAGTAATTGATTTTTTATTTATGGTGCACTAATTTCAGTAAATTATTGTATAAGCCTATGCTATTAGGTAATAACGTAATTAAGAACCACGCTTTTGATAGATTAAAGGGGTAGCTGTTAATAATAGTCTTTTGAATAAACACAGTGAAATATAAGGTTACAATAAATTAAGTTAATATTGAAATCCGCAGTAAAATATTAGGTTGGAGAACTTTGTTTTTTTCCAGCATATGTAAGCCCTTTAATTTTATTTTTGTTAGATCTTGCCAAGTATTTATTAGTTTTATCTAGCTAGTATTTTTTATTTATAAATCTCACTGTTATTGACCATCCCAATTTTCATCAATAGTTTTTCTACAGTAATGTTCACCTTTCTTATTTTGAACCCATCTCAGAAGACAAGAAAACTTCAGATTAAAGCACCTGGATAAATTTGCTTTTGTAGTGATAGCAATTTATTTAGTGCATTATAAGATGATGAAAACCTCACTTGCTTAGCCTGATGGCAATGAAGCATGTTTCATCTACTTTCTCTTCCAATTAAGAAAATAATTTTATTTTCATTTTGCCTTGCAAGTAAATTAAGTTTTTCTTTGTTTGTTATTGATTACCACAAAGTATTAGCCACTGGTTTGTTTTTAAATTTTAGTACAAAATTGCACAGGATATTAACTTTTTTAATAAATATTTTTTTTTCATGATATGGATTGTCAATAAATTTAATTATCTTTAATTTTTAAAACAAATTTTTTCTTATTGTTTTTGTATTTAATATACAATATTTATCTTCAATGACTTAAATATTTACCTATTCTAATAGTTGTCTTCATGCCATCTAAAATTAAAAGCTTGTTGATGCTAGGTAGATTAAAATTTTGTTGGTTTTACAAGAAAAAGAAAACCTAACATTTTTATATTTTTTCCATTTGCCTATTGGCAGCTTTTATGTACATGAATTTTAGTTATGTATCTTTTATTTTAAATTATTTTATGCACATTTTTAGTGGGAATATGAGGCGATAAAAAATATTGAGTTCATTAAATTTCATAAAATGTACAATCATTTTAAAAATAATTGTGGAAGAATTCTAGAAATATGTACTAGCTGTCTAAATATTTTATTTGTAGTTTTTTAAACTATTCTGTAAATATAATTTAAGACACCCCGTTCAACAACAACATTAATGAAAGAAACTTCTTAAAACCTATTTAGTAACATTATTTGTGTAAACATATACTTTCCCAAATTGTGTAAAATATGTTAAATACTAGTTTTTGAAATTTTTTGCATAAATCTAATCAAGATTTAGCTTCCTTTCATTAAAATCTGAAACATAAATTTCAAAAATAAAAATAGAACTTTTTTTCAAAAAATGTTACCTTTTGGTAAAATATAATTATATTCTTGTTTATGTAATTTGTCCGTAAGTATTTTTAGCAACATATTTTTCCTCAATTTTACTTAGCATGTTAATTTATCTTTATTTTAGGTAGATACAAATTTAACAGATCAAATGTTTTTATGGATTGATATGGGACTTATCACTTGTTTTTCTCTTGCAAGTAAGTATACATGTACCTATGTAAGGTCTATGTATGTTACATGTGCCAAAAAGTCTTCTGACTAGAAATAATCAGTACTGACTATCAACATTTTATTTTTTGTTGATATTCTTAATAAAATTTTGAAAACAATGTTTTTTAATTGATGTGTTAATGTAAGTAATGTAATACATTAAAATCTAAAAATTATCAAATGTGCAAATATTTTATTTATTCTTTTTATTAAATATCATTAGTTATGTTTAGAAATCACTATTTTAAAATATCAAAGCATTGCTGCTTTAAAAATATACTTTTTCTCCAAAGTAAATTTCTTAATTTGTTTGATATTTGTGTATAATGATGGAGATAAAAATATAAATTTTTAAACCCATTCGAACTTTCTTCTGAAAATGGGTTCTTTTTTTCTAAATATTTCATATTTTTGAAATTCTGTTATTTCTACAAGGACTTGTACTGCTCCTTTTCTTTCCTTCGTGGTATTGCAAAGCATTTTGCAGCCACTGCATCTCATGTGTAAGATCAGAAATGTAACGCAACATGCAATATTTTGTTTGAAGAAATTTTTTTAATTAAATGTCTACTTGCAATTTTTTTTAAAAAATTTTTTTATCTAAGAAGTTTAAATTCTTAAGGCATGCTCCTAGATTTGTCAGAGAACTAAAGTTACTGTATCTTTGTACTTATTATTTATTTAAATTCATTGTTGATAATATCTTTTTTATAGTGTTGTGCTAAATCTTCCAGTTGTTTAGACACTGAACCAAATGGTACTGAATTTTGTCTGCTTCATACTGCCTTCTCATAGCATAATGTAGAAGAAACTGTTGTTTTTTCAGGAAGCCACTAGCTTTAAACATATATAGGGTTTAATAACGACACATACAGGGTTCATTTAAAAATCTACCTCTTTTGAAACATCACTATCCGTTTTTTTCTTCTCTCTTTGTTACGAACTAATTAATGCTGTATCTGTTGATAAAGTATAAACTTTGTGAGCACTCCTAATAATGTCAATCAATGTGTTGTTAATGTTTCTCATCAAATTTCAGTGGGTTATGCCAAGGCTTATGATAAGCTTGTACCACAACGTCCTCGTTGCAGTCTCTTCAGTGTACCCAATGTTGTTTTCCTCCTAGGACAAGTTTTATTTATAGTGGTTGCTCAAGTTCTAAGTCTCATTTATTTACAACATCAAAAATGGTAAGTAGTACAACTGTTTAAAGCAAGAAGTTTTGTATCTGAGATTGTATGTAGTTGACATTTACAGACTAGATACAAAGAAAGGCTGGATACAATGTAAACAATGGCGTCCCTGAGATGATGTCGTTGTTTGCACTGTATCCAGTCTTTCAATCTATTTGTTCACCTGCAAAAAGTTGCAATGACAAAACAACCAAATGTAAGTAACAGCAGCTGTAGGTTTATTTCATCTTGTAGTTGAGCTACTAAGAAAAAGCAAAATGTTAAATAAGAGCAGTTTTATGATAGTAGCCATGTTGATTCTTGCATTAAAATTTCACTAAAAGCTTGCAAAAATCAACCACGCTCTCAAAATGATATGAATGCACACTTCAATAAAGAAAGTATACTATCAGTAAAATGTGCGTTAAAAATTGATGATTGTAACTACAGTATATGAAAGTATTGTTTTAAAACATAATTTTTGTAGCTAAAATATAGACCATTTAAAGACCTGATAGAATTTTGTAAAATACATATGGATAACATAAAATTAAAAATATTATCTTTTTGTAATTTCAGACAGCAAAAAGTTATAAGTTAATTTTTGGAAAATTGGACTTAGAATTTTCTACTCATAAAAAGTCAGTTAAATATTATTTTATGGTTCTAATGCCATTTAATGTCTGATCTTGATGCTTATGAATTTCTATAAGATACAAAAATAAACATCTAGTTCTATCAGTTAAATGTACAGAATGTTTCATGAATTTATCATTTATTATTTCATTTTATTATAAGTTTTTGTGCATTTCAACTGTTCATTGCTTGGAAAATTTAACCTTGCAATGCTTTATTAATGTACTATTACCTATTCCATGTTAACTATTCTACTTGTTACTTATATCATTACTTTACTAAATCGAAAATTATTTAAATTATGTGAAATACAAGTGATAATACATGATATTAAACACTATATTCAGTTTACTCATAACTTGATTTGTTTCGTTCAAGGTATGTACCAGTTGTAACTGAAGAAGAGGACATTTTTCCATGCTGGGAAAATACTGTAGTCTTCTTTGTTTCGTGTTATCAATATCTTATGATGGCATATCTTGTTTCTGATGGCCCACCCTATCGCAAACCTTGGTATACAAATTGTAAGTAAAATCTGTGTTTCATCTAAAGATTTTTCATTTACTTTCATTGGCTGTATAAATGATTTACTTAGTAGGTCGTTAGATTAACTTCCGAATTTTTTACTATTATGTAAGATTTGTTTTTAAAAACTCTAAAAGTTAATATATCAGTAATACGTTTAAGAAACGAATCCTTTTGAGAAATGCCAAAATGCTTCAAAATCACTATAATGCCCAATTTATGTATGATCTGCTATTTCTTACTTGCAAATTAAAGTGGATGTTTGCAGGAATCTCTCTCCCCTTTCTTTTTTGCTATTTCTGATCACTCAAGAATTACAAAAAATTATGCAGGTTTCTCACTGGTTAGCAAGAACAGGGAAAACCTGTTATTGTCAGGGAATTTTATTTTAACTCAGGGAATAGTCAGGAAAAGTTGCAATTTTTTACAAAGAGTTGTAATTTTTTTTTTTACAAAAGTTGCAATTTTTTGCAAAGTCTTAGAATAATTGTTAGTAACAGTAATCAGTTATTCAGGCTAAAGTTAAATAATTCTAACGTCTTTGACTATTATATTTTATAAAAAATTTAACATTTTAATCTAATTGATATGATTTAGTGATTTTTTTCTTTCGAAATCTAATATTTGTCATAACAAATCAAGAAAAATCTAAATATTCTGATAAGTTGCATGGTATGGATAAAATATGGTCTAGATTTTCATTGAAATTTACCTGATATACCTGGAAAAGTCATGGAATTTTTCAAATTGGGTGCCAGCACAGTTATTCTCAGTGGAGAAAAAAATTGTGCATTTAAGAGCTAAATAGGGGGCTATAAATCTGTTATCAAGTATAAACAATTTGATTTATATGTGGTGAATGATTCACAATATTTTATTGCTTTATAAACATTTTCTATTGTGTAATATTCCTTTGGATGTATGATATAATAGATATTTTTTTTTCTAGACTTTCTGCTTCCTCTTTTGATTATTGGATTTCTGATTACCACTTTCTTAGTGTTCAATCCTTTTCCTGTGATTGCTCCATATGTTGGTGTAAGTATTTAAAATTTACTTAAGGATGTTTATTTATTTTTTTATTGTTTCTTGATTAAGTTAATATCTCTTGACTTTTTTGCATATTCTCTGTTGCCCAAAATTTGTGCAAAAATATATCCTGTTTTTTATTTTATATTTTTTAGTATAGAAATTATTCTTTTGAAGTTTATATTATTATGCACATGTATATATGTATAGAATTATTTTTACCATTTAAGTCAAATGTAATAATTACAGATATATATTATTTAAAAAATGTAAAACAATGACCTTTGTAAAATATAAAAAATGGCTTTTGTGTCGTTTGATGAAATATTTTAGTTAAAAGAAAAAAAAGAGTAAAAGAGCATTGAAATAACCTTAGCAGATAAAGGCAGCCTGTTTCTTTTCAGCATACGCGATGTCATAACCAATCAAGGATTGTTTTTGATTGCATCACTTATGGATGCCTTTTTAGGCAATTCAAGTGTACAATAATTAAATTAGTAAACATTTGAAAAAAAAAAACAATTAGATATTCGGTTTCCGGGCAGAATTTCCAATAAGTAAGGATTAAAAATAAAAAATTAAAAGATGTAATTGTCCATTGTCAAGATGAACTTCCCTACCGACTTGATCTGTTTAAAAAATTCTTAATATGCTTGAAAAATTCTTAGTATTGCCATTTAGATTAGTAAATAGTAATGTGCTATAAAATTATTAAGGTTTTATCATTATTAGTTTAATTTCTGATAAAATTAATTTTTCATTTTGAACACCGCCTTTAACTTTTTGTGTGTATTTTTTTTTCTTTCCAGATTGAGACTTTCAAAATAAACGAACATCTGTTATTTAGAGCTACATTAGTAATGGTGGCAGCTTGCAATTTTTTCCTGGCTGTTGCTTTTGATGTAAGTTTTTTTTTCTTCCTTATTCGCATATTATATATATACTGTTTCATTGTTTCAGATTTAATCTTTATTTTTGTTATGGACTGGAAGTTAACTGTCTCTTTATAATACAAATGGCACAATTCAACAGTTGAGTGAATTAAAATGAGCTATAGCAGATTTTCTGCTTTTGCTTTAATACGAAGCACATTATATAGTTGTCTGAAAAGTCTTTTTTTCTTTTAAATAATTTTTAAAAATTTTTGTTTATTATAAAAATACAGAGATATCGATTAAGTGTAAAATTTTAAAGTAAATTTGAGGAAATTTAAGGGTGAAGGAGATGTGTAATTATGAATGAGGAAGTTATTCCTTGATGTTTTTATAATATTGAACTCAGTTCCGTCAGTATTTTAAAAAGCAAAGATACTAATTGCTTGAACTTAGTTTATTGAGTCACTCAGAAGCAAAGCAAAAATTTCTACATTAATTTATCACCAAACAGCTTGCGAGCAAGTATAAAACCTCTTCAGTTTCTTTTTTTTTTTTTTTTAATAAAAATTGTTTGTTTTTTTCACTTCTCAGTAACATATCTGAAATATAAACATATATTGCTAGTCAATAGTAGTTGTACTGTTCTATATCCATTTTCTTTAAAATTAAATTAACAAAAAAGTAATCCTGAAAATGAAAGTTGAAAAACTTGGGTATGGAAAATTTGATTTCAAAATTAATTAGATTTATTTTATTTTTCTAAAACATACTTTGTTGAGTTTAACGCAAGTATTTTTTCAATTATGTTGCATAAAAGTTTTTAACTTTTTATGGCATAGGACCCACATTGGGAACTTAAAATATGAATGCAGGAAATACTTTTGCAAAAAATTGAATTTCATAAGATTTTGCAAAATGAACTGATACAGTAATGCAATATATTCCTTTGTAAATAAAGATTTAATTTAATAAAATCCAATTAATTTGCATTAAAAATATGAATTGAAAAAGTAAACAATACTACTCTTACAAAACTATACCCAGAGTGTTTCAATTTGTTTAACTTTATTTTGAGCACATATAGCAATGTTATCTTATTTGAATAAATACACAAAAAGTTTCAAAAAGAAAAAAATGTAACTTTAGGGATGTATAAATAAGAAAAATTCTAAAGGTGCCTTAAGTGCCACTATTTGGAAATTCCTTTTGTTTTTCTTTGTTAGAAACCTCAGGTCAGCAGTTGGCTGTTAAAAAAGTGAAAAGAAACATTATAATTTCAGTGGTTTAAATTTCCTGCACAGATTTAACCATTTTTTCTGTTACTCTTCTCAACAACCATTTTGTATCTACTTTGAACTGCGGAAGTGATTTATGTTTATTTTATTTTTAAATAGCCTTCAGAAATGTCATGTCACATGTTTTTAAGCTTTTTTTTTTTAAAATTGTTAATAGATATGCATTTTTCCATTTCTTTTCTAAATCAAAACAATGATGAAATAAATTATCATTCTTTTTTGCTAAATCATATTGACATGTAGTATACTTGTGACGTCGGTAACATTATTTTTGTTTAAAAGTGTTATTTTTATTATTATCAAGATAACTGTATCATAATCTGTAAAGAGCTCTAGGTAGTTTTGATTTCATTAAGGAAGCATCAATGTCCTACTTATTATTTTTAGTTTCTATAACTTTTTTGAAATTTAACTTAGGTTTCTACATTTTTTATGAGAGTTTGGCATAAGCAAGGGCATTATTTAAATGCAAACTATTTTGTGAAATAATGCAAAGAACTTTTAGAAGAAAAGAAAGGTACAGTGGTATCTTGTGCTCATGATAAGAGTCATAAAAATCACATTAAAGACTTGAAAGAACTATTAATATATCGTTAACTATGCTCCTTTTATAACTATGCTAGCTTAACGAAATTAGAAGAGAAAAAAAACTATTTTTTTAGATTTAAAAAAAATATGACCCACCACTCCGAAAAAGATAAAATAGTCGCTAATATTCAAGTGCTAGTATGAATTTAAAAAACATACTATACTCAAATCAATTACCAATTAACTTCATAGGTTTATTAAAAGTCTAATAATCTTGCACACCAAGATAGTAATTTTGCTGTAACTTTGAAAGTTTGAGTATTTTCTAATGCTTGTTGTTAAAGTCAAATTGCTTTTTCTTTTTTTCATTGCAATATTTTTTTAAAAAATAAATAAATAGTTTTTTGAAAAAAACCATCTAGATTCTAGATCTTTTAAGTAATTTAGTTTATAAAAAAAGTAAATCATTTTCTCAGCAGTTAATCAACCCCTTAGGTTTTTGAAAGACTAGTTTAAAAGGACAATTACAATTTCAAAACTTATGGTATGGTATGGTGGTGGCAATGATGTTTTCAACTTTGCGCACCTAGTACATGAATTTAATAACCAGATGCAAAATGAAAAAGCTTGTGTTTTATAAGTTTTTAATGTCGTATTTGAAAATTATTTAGACTTTCTATTTTATGTCATTATAATCCATTTTCTTCAAATTTAATCACATTTAATGTTTGCCTTTTATTTTAGATCATGGTTGCAAATGCTCAATGGCTAAGGGCATTTGTAAGAATCATCAAACAGAAAAAAGAACCTAAAAATGAATTTAAGCGAATTAATTTAGAACTTTCTAAAGATTATAACTGGCCACCTATTGACCAACCTATTTGTGCGAGTGGACCAATATTGATTTGCCAATGACGATTACTATAACTTAGTGCCTTTGTTTTGTTCTTTTCACTGAATGTAATGTTTTTCTACAGAAAAATGTAACAAAAAATGCATTTTTTGCATTCTATTTTCGTAAATTTCCATATCCATTTTAGGATAAGTGTGAAGATTTTTATATTTTTAGGGAATATACAGGGATGATTGGGGAAACTTACATCCCTTTCTCCCCTTTCTTTGTCACACAATACCGTAATTCATTTTTAATATAGTATGCTCGCTATTTATGAATCAGCCTACTACCCTTTCTAACTATAAAAAAAAAACTTGCAAGAGAAGATAAATTTCTTTAGAAATTAAAAATGACTTGTGATAAGTTTTTTACTTATATTTTTTTATTAAATATATAAGTACTAGGCAATATATAGGTGTTTGGTGATAGGTTTGAAAATCATTGGGGCTTTAGAAAATTTGCTTGAGAAGTTTTAGAATTTAATGTTTCGCTTACAATATATATTTTTGTGTTACATAAGAACAAAATTATCTAGTCTTCTGAAACTGTTATTTGGTGCTGCAGGCTTTTGTGGAGTCAGAACATTCATATACCCTGCTGCAGTTGTCAAAATTGACATCTAAATATATTATCTTGCATGAAATATTCCTTGGTTATAAACATAATGTCACTAGCCAACACGACGGCATGTGTTTTATCTACACTTATTTCAATGATGGAACTTAAAACTTATCTTTTTTTAGTAAAAAAACTGTTAGCAATACTTAATTTTTTTTTCTTAGTGAGGGCAGTGGTTAGAAAGATTGGTTTCCCAAAGGACTGACTGTATGGTTTAATATATTTTAATCAGGGATGCACAACCATTGGTGGGTCACAAAAACTAGAAAATAACATGTTAGCCAACATTTACTTCATTAGATTCTGGATGCCAGTAATATGAATGGCTTACAAATATGTTACTATTTTTTTTTCTTTTACCCTAGTACAGATAATAAAAATTAAAATATTGAAAACTATTTAATGTAAATAAATCTAGTTGAATGTAGATACAAAGCAATTATAGGTAAATAGAACAAGAGAAAAAAACAAAGCTAAAAATTTTCATTTACTTCAAAAGTTTTCTCATTTTGTCCAGAAAACAAAATTTGTGTCTAATAATTTAAAGCAATATGAAACCTAGATAATGCAATTTTATAAACCTCAATTTTCCAAAAACCGAGTAATATCTGGAGGAAACCAAAATAGATAAATTTGTTGTATATTTCTAAAATTTTATTTCTGCTCTTAATTTCAATTTTTTTCCTATAAATACTTAAGTGTATATTTTTGTCTTTGAGCATTTTTTAATGAATTATGATGTTGATCTGTATTTTTATAGTGCCATGTTTAGTTGGTAAGTTTAATGGCACTTTAAATGATTTTCATAACACAAAATTCCATTTAATGTGAAACCTCATATTTGCATGTTTACGTTATAGGGATCTTTTACTGTATTAGGTTAATGTATTTAAAATTTATCATAATTGAATACTCTAATTTAGTTGAGTAATTCATTATTACAGAGCACTACCAACAAAAATATTTTCTGTTTTTTTTTCTTCTTCATTTTAGTTATTAATATTTAAAACATTTCAAGATTCATGTTAAAAGGCTTCATGAACTTTGCCTTGTGAACTATGAATTCTGCATCCTTGGTTTTAACTGTAATAAAAAGTAAAGAGCATATATGTAAATATATTGTATGTATATGTAAGTAAGAGCATTTTCACTATGACTGAATGTTGTGTATTTGTTAGTGTATATTGGTTTGGAATGTTTTAAAAATATGTTATCATTTGCCTGTATGACAGCCAGATGCAGGAGTTATATTGATACATATGTTTGCTTCTGTTTGGTTGTGTGAGTATGAATTTTGTGATAAATAGAGTATTAAATTTATAAGATCAATCATACTTAAAAATTTGTTTAGTTTGTTTTGAGATAATTAAAAGTACAGTAGCGCCTTGATTATTCTAGTTAATTGGGGGCAGTCCTTATTTACTTGAAATAATATGATATTTGATATGCTTCGGTAACATCACATTTTAATATATTAACCTCACTTAACTCGAAAAATCTAGGTTTTTTTTAATAGTATATGTTATTTAAATATATTCCAACAACCATTTTATAAATGTATTTTCGTCAAATAAGTGTAAAGCTATTTTATTTTAAAACTAACTTGCACTTTAATCTCTTATATTGATTTTCCTTTTTTTTTAAACAAACTATTTTTAAGAAGTAGCATCTAATTTTGAATTTAGCTGATTTTTGAAATAGGTTTTATTGACTTATATTTACGAGCTTTCTAACAATTTCATTCTTACTGCAAAATATTTTTCTTACACGTTTAACATCATGCTTTCTTTTAAGAAGAGTTGAAAGTATAACATTTAGGCTACACTAACCGTTATGAAGGGGAAAAAACACACAGATAAAACAATGAAAATTGTGCGTCTTAAAATTTGGATAATCGAGGTTCTACTGCATTTCTAAAATTTGCTTGATTTCCATATCACCCTCTCAACACCAGCTTGTCAAATTTTGAGCCGCTCAATCATCCCTGCTTATGAATGCTTTAAATTATTCTCTAACGTTTAGTATTAATTTATTTTTGTACATGCATTTTTGAAAATGCATTAAATTTTTTGTAAAATGTTTTTAACTATGTTAGATAGAAAATTCTTGTGAATAATTTGTTTGATTGTAGTGAGTTGTGTACTTTGAAAGGGACCGAATCTGTAATGTTTCTAAAGTGTGTTTCCTTGCTGTTTTCTACAAAACATTAATTTTTGTACAAAATTTTTTTATTGCTTCTTTTTAGTTGAAGCTTTAACTTATTTTCCGAATTTTCATGCAATAAGCTTGATAAAAATCAGTTTACATGATTTTTAACTATATTTTTCCTTAATGAAATATTATCACTTTAAAGTAGTTATGAAGTCCAAATAATTTTGTGAAATACATACTAAGTTAAATTTAAAGCATGAATTTACTCTTATTTTTCAAATTTACCATCTATGTGATACTGTCCCAACAAAATATGTGATTTTTTTTATTATTAGTATTATATAAAGTTTATTTATATAAAAAAAAAAAATTTCAACATGTTATTATTAGCAGTGTGATTAATTAGCCATGGTTGTTGGCACATAGCTGTAGTTTGAGCTTAGATTTTGACTAATATTATTTGAAAAATAAATCAGAAAGCTACTTCATAAACTTTGTTAAACCAATTTTTTTTAAAATGGTGATACTGTTAGTCATTGTTTTAACCCTATTACTTTAGATGCATTTACTTTCAAAATTTTAACACGTTTAGTGTTATTGTAATTAATATTACAAATAAACATCATTGTTACAAAAAAATAGGTTTAGTGTGTGAAACGTTTAGTTTGTATACTGTTCCTGTGAATAAGTATGTATTTAATCTGTGTAATATGTAGATAATCAGCTAAATTGTTTACGAAATTATTAATTATGCAAATTGAAAAATGTAAAAATTTTAATTTATATTGTAAAATTTGAAAAATTATCAGTAAATATATTGTTTGCAAGTATTTCGCTAAATAAATATTTGGTTGCAATACTCTAGTTGCTTTTATTTCAAAGTATTTTTTAAATAGACTCTACATTTTGACTGCTAAATAATGGATTCTGTTGTCCATTTGTTGCATAAATATCTGCATTTCCTATTTTTTCAAAAGAATTCTTAATAATTGAAGAAATAATCAAATCAATCCGCCTTTTATTTCAAAGTATAATTTATGATTTCTTCAGAAAATGTGTCCATTTTATCTTTTTCAATCTCAAATAACGATGTTTGGTCTTCTGAAGTCACTTGGAAAGCACAAGGAAATGTTGATGCTATATAACAAATTAATATAATATATAATAATTTAAGAAATGCATTTCCATTTTGTTGGATGGTACCAAAAATATTTTGTAGGATTCTGGAGAGAAAGGTGAAGACGAATCATTTGTAGAATGAAATACTTGTCATAGTTTTATTGCCCCATAAAATTTTTTAATTTGTTAAATTATGATATGTCATAGTTTTACTGCACCATAAATTTTTTTTAATGTGTTAAATATTTTTATGGAAAGTGTTTAGAAAAAAATCTTAGTTTTGAATGTGTTACCACTGTATATGTCAACCCTTCAAATTTCATTGCAATTTTTTAGGCATTTGAAAAATCGACTTGGGCAGCAGAAAATAGAATTAAAATACTAGCGCATAAAATTGACTTATTCATTTAATTAAATCTATAAGTATAATTTTATTTTAATCAAATTGTTATCCGTTTATCATAACTCTACCTTAAATACAGGAATTCTAGCTAATTAAGAAATATTGATTTATTGCCCCTGCGAATTGGCTTTAAGCCATTCAAAAGTAATGGTGTTTCACTTCGGCTCTGTAAGTTAGTTTCATATTGGCCCTATTTGTAGAAGTCATGGTAGGACTGGCCATAGATCTGAAATTGCAATCATCCCTGGACCCAAGCTAATATAGTTTAGCATGCCTTCCTTGAAAGTGGGGTTCACTATTTAAGTTAAAAAGCATTTTGAAAAAATGAAATGTATTGTTCGGACATATTTGAATATAATTTTTTTCTCATAAATATCATTATGAATAAAATAGTTTTCATAGAATTTTATGCAATGAGTCAAACTGTAAAGACATGAATGCACGTCACTATTTCATTTTCTATAAGGAACAGTATCTCAGTCTAGTGCATGCTTCCAATAAATATCTAAAATTAGATTGGGGGCTCAAGAAATGGAAGCAAAAATATTTCATCACAAAGTAGCACTGGAACTTCATTTTTACAAATTATGGAGAGAGAAATTTACACACTTGTTACCTGTTGTTTATCTTATAAAAATTATATTAAGGACTTTACAAAAAATTATTCTAAATTACCACAAGTTTCATTTTCCATAACAGGACAAAGTTTTTTGAAAGGAAACATAAAATATTCTGCTTGTTTAAGGAAGTTTAAAATTTCTAATAAATTTTATAAATCAATTCACTGAATAATAATGAAATCAGTCATTTTTTAACTTTTCCAATATAAATTAATGGAAGTTCATTTTTTGGTTCCCAGTCTGATCCTGGTTGGAACCAGGACTTCTGAAACTATGAATTTACTAACATATTTTTGGCCACTTATCTAGTATTTTTCAAAAATCTTCAAATAAACAAGTGGGAAAATAATTTCTGTTTCCTAACGAAATCCAATTTCATGATTTGTTTTCGATAATGATTTGTGTAAAATCATTTTCACGTAGAAAATTCACAAAAACAAAGCTCCCAGCAGCTAAGGTGTAAGAATTTCTCCATGTACCCTGAAAATAAGAGCTTCAGAGGGTGCGTAGCGTTTTTAAAAAGTGCTTAAAGGTGTTTATTTTTATTGACGTTTTTTAAAAGCTTTTAAAGGTGCTTTTTTTTTTAAATTCAGGGCTTGTAAAAAGTGCATACTTTTCTATGTTTTAAAAATATTTTTTTTTCTTTGCCGTGTTGATTGTCGTTCTATATTACAAAAAGTGCATGTTTTTCACAATTTTCTGCGCAATATCTATCAGAAACTAGCTATTTTAACATGATTATGTAAAGGTTTTGAAAAAGTTCTTGAATTTTATGTTTATAAACAGGGTGCGTAGCGTTTGTAAAAAGTACTTAAAGGTGCTTTTTTGGGAATTTCGTTTTTAAAAGCTTTTAAAGGTGCTTTTTTCAGCTGGTGTTTTTAAAAAGTGTTTTTTTCCACAAATATTTTTTTTTTCTTCAGTGATATCTGGTGAATCCCATGCATTTCACGAAAAATGGGGTGTTTGCTACGTAATCATTCACCCGGACTTCATGTCGTACCTACGTTATGACTTGCGCATGCGCGCACACTTAGAACCGAAGCCCGAGTGCTCCAATTCGGATAGAGAATATCAGATCCTTATGAAATGTTTTTCTTTTTAATTTAATTTAATTTTATTCTTGTTTATTTTATTTTACTTCTAACACTTTTTTGACGTAGGGGGTAAGGGTACTTTTGTTCTGAGTTCAGGGTCAAGTTGAATTCACTCGGTGATGTGGGAAAGTACTGATTGTTTTGATTTACGTCCGTTTCTTTTTGGGTTTTTTTTAACGTTAAAACTCTTTATAAAAAGTTTTTGTTTTTCAATAATATCATTGATTGAATATGAATTTTTTGAGTGCTTGAAAATTTTTGTAAAGTGCTTGAAAAGTTTTTAATAAGTGCTTATTTTTGATTCAAAGATTTGGCTACGCACCCTGTATAAACTAAGAACTTTAAACGATAGAATTTTTTTTTTTTAATTCCTGTACAGATCCTAATTATGTTTTTTTTTAGTGTGATTAAAAATCATTTTGACTGCTTAAAAGGTGCTTATTTTTTGTTGAAAAATCTGGCTACGCACCCTGTCCAATCGTTTCGTCAACATTTTCCTTTATAGTGATTATTATTTTAACAAAATGAGGTCGTGGGTAGTTTACTCCCCCCCCCCTCCTACTTCATTAATTTTTGAGTGTCGATGGGAAGACATTTTCTTACGTATTGACTTGTGCCGCCATCTATGCTACATGAATTGTGTTAAAAAAGTGTTCCACAACATCCTATTGTTATCTAGGGGGTCATGGAGATTAAGGAAGGCTTTACAATTATGTGACCAACAATGAATTGTGATGCATCACATTTTTACGAATTTCATTCACAGTGTTCTCATTATACACGGAAGCTATTTGTATTTGCAGCACGAAGTGTAATTCACTTAAAGCTCATTTGAAGTTTTTACGTCTGTATTTCTTTTAAACTAACCATTAAGTCCAGATAATATCAATTATTTCATAAATTTAAAAAAAAATTGGTATTACTAAAAAAGTTTTTTTTATATTTTATTTATTTCTTTTTTTGCAATAAATTTATCATTAAACCAAACAAAAAAAAAATTTTCATACGTGTTATTAATTACATCCAACACTTAATACTATATTTTATGTACTCCTTATTTAAATGAATAATAAAATAACTTTTTACCCTAAACAATTATAATAGTTTATTAGTTTAGGATACTTAAAAAAAAAAAAATTTTTTTTGAAAATGCTATGCTATGTATTAGAATGGAGATCGAAAAAAAATCAATGTATTTATTATCCAAGAGATGGCGTTAGCGCATCATAATCACTATTATAAGACGGAAGAACAAGAACCAAGAAGAGTATTCTATTATATATTTACAATCAGAAATTTAAATTTGATTTCAAGTAAAAATCATTTTTTGGAATGTAATTTTATTGCAAAACCAATGTTTATATGGAAAAGGAAAATCACAACATTATTTATCAATATTTAATAGCGATCTTTATTTAGGTTTTTTTTATGTATGGAGCGTCTCTATGTTATAAATAATTCCTGTTATAAACAACGAGTAGAAGAGTTTATATTTAATTATATTAATAATGAATAGAAGCGCTAATTTTTAATTATATAAAATATGATAATTAATTATAATATTAATTAAATAGCAAGAAATCTATTTCATGCTATTTAATCAATATTATATTTACATTCAGTAATTTAAATTTGATTACAAGTAAAGAATATCATTGGAATATATTATATAATTTTATCGCATGATTATTAATCAAAGCTTAAATGGAGAAAGAAAATTTGAACATTATTTATCAATATTTAAAAGCGATCTTTATTTAGGCTTTTTATAAATGGCGCGTCTCTATGTTATCTTAAGTAATTCTAATTATTTCAATATCTTCACTATTATAAAAGTGAATTTTCTGAACGACGTTGAGTGTTAAAATGAGCTTTATATGTAGTGTTCCTTGCTAAGACGTAATGAAAATCTGACTAAGAATTATCGGAGTCATTTACAGGTTAGTTAGTATTAAAAACATCACAGCTAGTTCCATTTTCGAAAAAAGCTTAAAGGTTACCAAAACATCCCCCATAACTCTGTCACTGTAAACATATTTATGTTATAAAATTGACTACTTTATTAGAATGCGATCTTTGTAATTTTTTGTTTATGTTTGATGTGTATCTTAATTTCAGATTTCGATTAAATTTACATTTTTTTTTTTCTCTTTAGAACAGCAAGGCATTTCGAACCAACCTCCTCCAAAACTTGGAACTCATTTAGATTCAGACAGAATTATAAAAATTACCCATGTTTTCATAGTTTTAATTTTTTTTTATCACTTTCGAAAATAAAATCAGAAAAATTATTCATACTTTAATAACAAATCATATTTTATTTCGAAGCAATGTCATTTTCCGTTTTTTAACTCTCTTTTTTAGAAAAAGTAAATCACGATAAGTTCAAAATATTTTATCTTTTTGACGCAGAATTTTTATTAAACTTATTTTTTCATTGTTATGTATTAATTTCGATCAAAATAAATGAAAAAATAGTATATTTAGCATTTTAATAATTTATGCATATGAAATACGCCATGAAACGCCGATGTCTATTTCTACGTAAAAGGTAAAATCTTCCAAACACGAATCACTTTCATACAATAAATTTTCAAATTTGCAGTTATTTAGATCTAACAGAAGCAGTTATTCATCATTGAAATTTCTTTAATTTACAAAATCATTTATTGATACATTTTTGAATATGAATGGAAAAAAAAATTTCTAACAGCTTTTTTTATAAATTTTATAAATTTAGTGCAAATATAATTCCGATAATCTAGTAGATTTTTTTTAATAATTATTATTAGATTGTTTTTTATAATTAAGAGATACGCAAATATATATTTTTACTTGTAATTAAAGCTTCCGAAAAAACAATATAAAAGGGATACCCGTATCCCATCTGCGTCAAATTGTTATGGCAGATTTCATCTCAACTAGAAATTCAATGGAAAGAACTTATATTGAACGATGCATAATAATATGTTTAAAGCATATTTTATTGAAATAAACGAGAGATGAAGATTATTTGTTGATCATTAAATTTAAAAAAATATGTCTTCATCCTCTTTTTCTTTCCTTGAATTTCTTATGGAATTTATCCGCTTTCGTTTATTTCCTGAAATTCAGAAAAAGCTCTGTGAATCGAAACTGTAATAATAAATAAAATTCAGTTAGATCCCTCATCAATTACAGAAATTCCAAGATCAATCTCCGTTTAAAAAATTAAAATAATGTAAAAACGAACAAATTTCATTGATCAAAATGCGATTTCTTTTTCTTTAAAAAAAATTTTTTTTTTCTAGTTGCATAAAGTGAAAGCAAATATTTGGCAGCTAAATTTCGTTAAGAAACGGAGCAAATCTGGTGAATTAACTACAGGAAATATCCGTTTTTACATTAATATATTTTTGCCATATTTATAAGGCATGTTTCTCGCCACGCGATTTAAAGTTGCCACTCATAGTATAATTATAGTTATAAATGTGTTGCTTACTAATCATAGTACGAAAATCTCTAATGTAAATCTCTTTGAGTAAGTAAAATAAATCGTATTCTGAATTTCTCTTCTAAAAGATTTATGCTTATCGACTGTGGAAAGAGTTTGTTCTATTGTTGTCTGCAGGACAAATTAATTCAAATTTTTTTTATTTATAAAATATCCTATATTTTTCCCGTAAGAAATTTATTATCACCACGTGAGGTCATTTAAAGTTGAGACCCATTGTAAAATAAGCTATGTTTACGTATATGGGTGCCGTTGGTGGGGGGATGGTTAGGTATATGTCCCCCTCAATAATTGGAAATCCAACTCAATATTTCAAACATACCTTTTCAATACTTCATACCTTTACTCAATATTTCAAGCTTACCTTTTAAAGGATCATATTAATTTCAAAATTCGTAATTTTAGTTGAATGACAGTGTCAAGATATTTGTTACTAATTGCAAATTATGTAAAAAAAATTGTAGAGAACTTACATAATATTGTTTTAAAGTTTTGGAGGTTCAAATAACAAGTAGTAAGAAGACCCAGTGAAGGAACAGCTCTTACCAGTGAATGAACACCCAGTAAAGGAACACTTAATTTTGGTTATTTTTTAATGCTCTTTATGAATTTATAAGCCATACAAATATTTAAAAACAAGCCTATTCTTGAAATTATAACATATAAATACTTGGAAAATGTTAACTTTTTTTTGTAATCATGAATTGAAAATTAAAGTGTCAACATATTAACACATACTGTTCATTCACTGGGAAATCTATGCCCAGTAAAGGAACATGCCTGTTCCCTCACTGGTTAGAAGTTGTTTTTCGTATTTTTAACATACTTTTGATGCGGAACATCACTAAAGGTACAAGAAAACTAAAGTTTATCTTTTATTTTCATTAACTTAGAAAAAAACTCTGTAAAGGAACACTTGTTCCTTCACTGGTTTTTCATCGTTTGGTGATCCAGTGAATAAACAACCCTCAGTACTTTATTATGCTATGGTGCTTAAAAAAATAAAACGTAACTTCAATAACTATATTTTGAATTCTCCTTTTCACAGTGCGAAAAATAAAACTATTACATGCAATTATTTCCACTTCAAACATATAAATACAAACACTCACCTTATAATTTTTTCAAAGAAACAAAGTGTTGCAGAGATAATAACAAATTCAAAAATTTTTCCAGAGAAGTCCATTTGACCAGGTAATCCAAAACATTGCTAGATGACTTCCTATTGTTTGGCAGTAAGCTATTGTTACCAATCAATCTAAAGAAAAACTTTCAAATTCTTATTTTTAATCAATATATATGAAATGTTCCTTCACTGGGTAGTGTTCCTTCACTGGTTGGTTTACCCTATTATTATCGTCTTAAATCCCTTAAAGTTAGAAACAAGAAGACAAAAATAAATTATCGCTTTACCGGTGTTTACCACATTTAAGGAATTTTTTTCATCTTTCGTGTGGAATTCGGAGAACTATTGTGACTACTTAATTTAATTTCATCCCGCTCAAAAATTGTTCTTTGCGACGCACATTAAGAAACTATGCATAAATATCTTTGATAAAATTAGTGATTTATTTTAAATATATATTTTCTAAATTTATAAATGGTGTAAATGCAGTTATTGTAATCTGTCCGGCGAGATTGGCGAAGACTTTTTTATAAAATATTCTTGTAAATTTCAAGCCTTGAAAAATTGTGTATCATGCATATTTCTCCCCTATCGAACAGTTAACGTACTGAACAACAAAGCATTAATGTTTTAGATAAGTGTAATGGTTTATGGACGAAGAAAAAAAAATAGTTTTCTAAATCTTTTCTCCTCTTTAAAGAATTTATATTTGATGTCTGTGAAACGTGTGTGTTCTATAATTGTCGTCTGCGGGCTTAAAACATTTTTTTCTAAGATATCCTTTCACATTTATAATAATAGTTCATCCAGCATTCCATGAACGACATTTACCTCCAGCATCTTCTTCCTTCCTCCGCAGTAGGGGGTGGAGTAGCTCTGTGTGTGCGGTCAAGCCAGCTTCTTATTGGCTGAAGTTTCTTGCGCGTGCTGATGACGTCTACGCACGTGGGTCCCTCGCGAATCTACCTTCCAATCCGATAGTGTTATTTTTTGTCCCCCTTGGATGCGCGTGGGGGTTTTCGTCAGGGGAATCCAGTTTTGATTTCTCAGTTTTTCTTTGAGCGGACTTCTTATAACTTGGACTTCTGTAGTTGCGTTATACTTACCTTATGTGATAATTGTGTTTCTGGCGTTGTGGTAGCTCTTTTGTAAATCATAATGCCGACAAAACGTGCTTTGGATTTTATTCATTCTAAAGATCCGTTGCAATATCCTGATAAGAAGGTATTTTTATCACTATTATTTTTTATTTATAGTTTGCTTCTGCAAATTTAATTTATACTAATTTAAATGTGGATTTCTATGAAATTTAATATTTTAATTTTCATACTATTAGAACTGAATTTTTATTTTTAAGATTTAATTAATTTTAATACTTTTTATAATTTATTTATAATTTTTATTCTCATGGTGGCATTGGATTTTCTATGATTAAGCAATTTTTTTTTTTTTTTAAACTTATTACTATGCCCTAGATCTCACCTTAAATGTTATCGTCCCTATAATTTTATTGCAAATTTAATCACCATGTGTACAAAAAAAAAAAAAAAAAAAAAAAAAAAAAAAAANAAAAAAAAAAAAAAATGGATTACCTTGAATAACTTATGATCTAATGATCGGATTTTCACGATCTAAAACTCATTCTTAATGGTTCGTGGGAGTAACCTCAAATATGTAAATTAATTAGTGCAAACGATATTTTAAGTTACAAAAACGCACTTTCTCTGAATAAACATACCTTTTTTTCGACGATTCGGATTTCTAACCCCTAAAGTATAGGGTGTAGCTGCAACCTGGGAAATATGGTCTCAATAGTTTGCTCCTTTTAATGTTAATTTTACTTTTTGCGTATTTCGCTATATTTCGAAAACTTTTTAAGTGAATTTAAAAATTTTTGTGTAAAATTTTTTATCCAAAGATAATTTCGTGAAAAAAATAACTTTTAGTTTTTAGTTTATTCATTATTATTTTATTTAATAATGGTCGAAAAAATTTTGAATTATAAGGTATATAACTTTTAGCATCTTTTCAATGAATATAATTTTCAAAGATGCACGACAAAATACAAAATTTGAGCAAAAGCGGTTGAAGCGGTTACTGAGAAATTGAATTTCAAAAACGTTAATTTATTGTAGATGCACGACAAAATACAAAATTTGAGCAAAAGTGGTTGAAGCGGTTACTGAGAAATTGAATTTCAAAAACGTCACGATATTTAAAACCTGATTTCTCTGGAACTATTCGACCGATTTCCTTAAAATCTGGTACTTTGCCATGCAAAATTTTATTCTATAAAATGATGCAAAAAATTTTATACCTTATAATTCAAATTTTTTTCGACAATCATTAAATAAAATAATGCAAAAGTAATAAATATTTACTAAAAGTTATTTTTTGCATGGAAGAATCTTTAGATAAAGGAATTTTATAATAGTGTGCAAATTTTTTTCAATTCGCTTAAAAATTTCTTGAGCTTTTGTGAAATTCGTAAAAAGAAAGATTAACGTAGGGGTCCAAACTTTGGAGCGCTCACCTGACCCAAACTATCTGGGCCATATTTCCCACTTTGCGGCTGCCCCCTATATTTTGGGGGTCAAAAATCCGTATCCGTCGGGAAAGAAAATTATGTTATTCAGAGAAAGTACGTTTTTGTGTCAGATATTGTAACTTAAAATATCGTCTGCACTTATTAATTTGGACTTAATATCGTCTGCACTTATTAATTCACCCAATTAATTCAATCAATTCAATTGAGTCCCTAGAACGTGAAAATCCTATCATTAGATTAAAAGTTATTTAGGATGGTCTGTTTCTTTTCCCCGCACTGTACATCCTTATATTTAATTAATTGGGATGTAAGAAATTAATTTAACTGATTACGAAAAATGTATGTTTTTGAAGGATTGTTCATCAGTTCAAACCTAAAATAATAGCTTTTTTTTGTGCAGAGGGTCGTTAGCGGCAAACAGTTGGCGTCTATGAATGGTATATATGACGCCTCGCAGTATTAATAAGAGTACGAATGTAGACAAGAACTAGTATTAAAAAATTATACTGTTTTACGTTTTCAGACATGAACACGGAAATTTGGTCGGGCGTTGTGTTTTTCAAAATGAGAAATTTGATTGAAGGATTTGACTTCATTTGGCATTTGATTAATTGGGTTGTTCGCAAAGTAAATTCTTATTTTTTTTTTTTTTTTTTTTTTTTTTTTTTTTTTTTTATGAAAATGAAAAAAAAGTCTACAGTGAATAAATGTCTTATAGAGTTATATATTGTCTGGTCCAACACTGTTTGCCACTTTTTTGGCAGTGAAATGATTCCACGCGCATAAAGTCTTTGTTCTTTGCCAGCAAAAAATTAAACTATTATACTGATAAAAGTCTCGCAACTTCTAATTTATTTGTTCTTATTGTGTGTCATTCTGTATTCCTGAGTTAAGTTTTTTTTCCAAGTACAATTAATTATTTTTAAGCTTTCTAGGTGGTTCTGATTTCATCAAAAAAGCATCAATGTGCTACTTTTTTAAAAATTTTTGCAACTTATCTAAAATTTACTTAGGATTTTTAATTTCCTTACAGGAGTTAAGCATATACATCATTTAAATGCAAAAACTTTTTTGAAACAATATAAAGAACTTTTATTAATTTAGAAGCTGAAATTTAAAGAAAAAAAAAGAATACTATGACGTCACTCGCTCAATAAAAGTTATAAAAATCCTAACTTTTATGCTCCCTTTAAAACCATACTAGCTTAAAGAAATTTGAAATAAAAAATATTTTTGAATTTTTATAGAAAACATTTCATTTTGACCAATAAATAAATAAATATTTTATCAATATTTAAGTGCGAGTATGAATTTAAGAAACATTCTATATTCAAATCAATTATTAAGTTTTAACTTTATACTTTGGAGAACTCTATTCAAGGTGAAAATTTAATTTTCATTCAGAAATACAGATTTAAAGACAAAACTTTGAATAAATAACTTAGAACAAAATACTTCGAGTTTGCTGACGATTCCAGTTTAGAAAATTTGTGTGTTATTTTCTATTTTAGTTTCAGTAAATTTGCTTTAACTTTGGAAGTTTGAGTCTTATTTTATGTTTGGTGTAAAATTGCTCAAAATGAAACATGTCATAATTTTTCTTCTTTTTTTTGAAAATAAAAATTCTGTTGAGAAAGATGCTTTATTTCCCTTAAATGTTAATTATAATTAACACATTAACAAACTATTTTTTCATAAAACTATAATTACTATCTACTTTATTGACTAAATTTTCTGTTTTTTTTTGGAAAATATGATCTTTTAGGAGAAAACCACAGAGGATGATAGATGTAATGAACAAGGATAGAAAAAAGCCCTCCTCCTAAATAAGGGGGGAAAACGTTTCCTTAAAGAAATTATTCTGTTATAATTTAAATTTTTTTAAAAAAAACAGTGTTTCATGCAATAATTGCTTCTCATATAAAGACTATTTTTATACCATTTTTCAATGCAAAACGGTATTTTCAATTAGGAAAACTAAACTTTGCCTTGAAGAAATTGTAGCATAACACATGTACTGAGGTTCCTTCATGTTAACGGAATATTTGTATTTGCAAATCACAATGTCAAGAAAGTTATGTAAAGGAATAGTTTATATATTTATATACATATTTTAACTTAGTTCTTAATATTTGATTAGCGTCTTTGTACCTAGATATTATTTTATTTCCCAGCAAGCGTTGAATAGCCAACCCAATTTCGAGTTTATTATTATCAATGACAATTCCGTAGCCTTGCAATTTTGAACAAAACCCAAAAGACAAGAAAGCTCCTTGATCAAACATTGGGATAAACTAGCTTTCATGGTTTTCTGATGGAACTGACTCACATTTGTGTTACAAGGAGAGGAATATCACGAAAACCTCCCACCGTTAGCCTGACTGCAAAGGGATTCTAACTCACAATCCTTTTACCATTGAGGATATTTTACGTCAGCACCATGATCTGTACGAGCCGAGAGCAGAACTTGTGTGGAACATCGCTGGGTCTCGAATCCGGGTCATCTCATGGGGAGGCGAGTGCCCTATCCCTTGAGCCACCGTGGCTCTATTGAAATAATTTATCCTACAATTAACGTACCTAAATTGATAAATGTTATTATGAATTTAGATTAGTAATAAGTTAAATTTAATAAGTTAAGTTTGATAGTAGTAAGTTAAATTAGGTATTTTTTGTAGTTTGAATAATCCATTTAACAGAACTTTCATATTTGAATGTGGCTTAAGTAAATTTTGAAATTCTAAATAGTTTCTGGGGGCATTTGGAATAAAAATTTATTCAAAAATAATTAAAGAACTAAAATTGAAAGGAAGATGTGATGATCTGGTGTAAGGATCGACAAATTAAAAACAAAGCTGTATTGAAATGCTTAACACTAGGTTTACGGACGTTTCTTATATACCTATCTCTACGAACACGCGTCAATTTGACGCATGAAAGAATACATATAATTGTAAATCTGAATTTAATGAATTCAATTTAGTAGATTTTTATCCAGCACCATTTCTAAATAATTCGTAGGCTTGTATAATTCACCATTTTATATTTTCAAAATTTACTTAGTTGTTATTTACCATTTTTTAAAATTATTTTGGCGTGTCCGGAGCAGTTGGTATCGCTGCACTTAGAAACCAATGTTATTGTATACTATAAGAAAAAAATGGAGATATGAGATACATATTTATTAGTTGTTGTTGTAGTTCATTTACGTCGCACTAGAACTGCACAATAGGCTATTGGCGACGGTCTGGGAAACATCCCTGAGGATGATCCGAAGACATGCCATCACAATTTTGATTCTCTGCAGAGGGGATGGCACCCCCGCTTCGGTAGCCCGACGACCTGCACGCGAAGTCGAGCACTTTACGGTAGAACAGTTTAATGAGGACCAATACCGCACACCCTCGGTCCCTACGCAGACTGATCCAAGTGGTCACCCACCCGCACACTGACCGCAGCCAGTGATGCTTGACTTCGGTGATCTGCTGGGAACCGTGTCTTAACGATCAGTCCACTGCGGGACGATACATATTTATGAAATATTCTAGTATTATATGTTGCAATACTCGAACTAAGCAACTGAAACCTTCAAAATCTGACACTCTGACGTCAATTGATATTCTGCGTTTGTTCTTTCTATTATTACTTATCGGCAACAGTTGTTTATCGCTTGTTTTATTTGAGATAACGATATCGGATAACGAATCGAAGTATTGTCGGTACATTTCTATTTATCAAAATTTTGTCTAAATTATGATCGCGTCAAATTGACGCATATCCGTAGAGATAGGTATACCACATTGAAAATTTCAATATTTCAACGCTTTTGAAGAAAATTGCCTTCAATATATATTTACTTCGATCAATGGTTAAAAGTCATTACAAGAGATAAAATAAAAATTCAAGCGGGTTTTATAATTTTCCTAACAAAACTAGAAATGCGTCATAATGACGTGTCCAGTAAACCTAGAGTTATTATTAAAAAAAAATTTATAATAATCCCATGAGCAAACTGGCTACCAAGATTTACTACTGATAAATAACTGAAAAAATGTCTGGTTAGAGGGTATAATTTATCAGCAAACCGAAAACTTGCGTTATTAGTGTCAGCGTAAACATCTAAATCATCGCTAAATTTTGATCTGAGAGACTAAATATGATGTCACTTTTCGGTGACATTTACGATACGTGTGTCATTAGTCCTTTTGTTCGCCACTCAAACGTCAGAAGCGTCCTCTACGTATTTTTTTAAAAAAGTGATTTCAGTTGACACTTCATGCTTTTTAAAAGCGATGGAACTTAACTTCTTAATCTACGCCTGAAAAGAATTAATATGATTTGGAAAGTTCTAAATGAAAGGGTCGCCATCAATTTATACTCGACACGACGTAGCAGCGGATATTATTCTTGTGAAAGACATAAATTATTATTCTTTTGATAAAACTCAAGTATAATTAAATTCACAACTCCTATATTTCGACATATTCTTGCTGTCAATTTACGTGCAAAATGAAAGGCTTTCATTACGTGAGTTCTTAATTTCATGCCTTCAACAAGACGAGCTTCACAGCTTAAAAATTATTCAGACTTAGAAATGTCATCGCCTATCTGCATTCGTACAATTAACTCTTTTCAAGTTGAATTTTTTTTCCAATCAAATCTCCAATACAACTCAATTACATGTGCGTTGAAAAGAAAGTAATTCATCATGTTACTCTGTATCTTTAAATTTGTCACGATCAAATAATTATAGTTTCTTTTGAATAAATTAAACTGGAATTTTTTTTCTTCTTAAATGATATAATATATTCAGCTTTGGGTAATTGAGTTAAAGTGATGATTAATAAATCGAATTCAAAAGAGCTACCATTTTGTAAGACTTCTGAAAATTTATCAAATATACATATAAATCGATTAATATAGGTAATTTGCCGAAGGGTTTAAAATTAATCTTTCTTCAACACTTTTTTCTGACTTACGCTTCAGCTTTTATCTTTTTTTATTCCCACGAAAAAGGTGAGGTCAATTATTTTTCTAGGAATGTATCAGAGTAATGACATTGTTACTTTGTACATTTAGTTGTACAGTAAGTTATTTTTCGTTTCCAAATAAAGTTTAAATAACACTTCTTTCTGTAATTTTTTTATGCCTTTCGGTGACAAGTTTCTCAGCTTAAAATTATTTATACTTTGAAATGTCATCGGCTATCTGAATTCTTACAATTAACTCTTTCAGATGATTTTTTTTCCAATCAAATCTCCAATACGACTCAATTACATATGCGTTGAAAAGAAAGCAATCCATCATGTTCCTCTGGATCCTTTTTTTATCACTAAAATGCGTCACAATTAATTAATTACAGCTCCTTTTGAATAAATTAAGCTGGGAATTTTTTTCTTAAACGATTTATTTAATTTCGGGTTATGAGTTGAAATGATGATTGATTAATCGAATTTAAAGGAATTACCATTTTGTAAGACTTCAGCTTCTGAAAAATCATCAAATAAGCATGTTAATCGATTACTGGTAACATTTGAGAGTTGAGAAAATAAAAAAAAATCATATTTTTCAACACTTCTTACGTTAATATTTAACATCTTGCCTTTCTCCTTTACCACCAATAAAAGTAACTCAATTATTTTCGTATTAGGAATGGATTATTGTTGTGACATTGTTACTTTGTACATTTTAGCCAAGATATAGCATAACTATTTGTTGACACTGTTTGAATTTGCAGCCTAAAAATATAGTAAAATAAACGACAGAAGTCTGCCCGTTCAATTAACCATAAAGTTTATGGTAAAGAAATTTTTTTTAACTTTACGGTTTTGAAGCCCTTAACAACTAGTTTTTTAACCGTTTACAACTAGCATGGTTTCAAAACTGTAAAAAAAGAAATTTAACTGACCATTGGAGATAGTTTAGTAGTTTTATGGTGCTGCCATCTATGCGTGAATGAGAATATCGTATCCAAATAATAAATTGGAGAGTGTAAGACACTGAAAACTTTTTCATGTGTTGAAGGGAATGGAAAATATATTGTGTTGTCAAACACTGGGTCTCGAACCCCCGTTCTTTCGGTCATGAAATTGACAGATTAGCCTTCTCGGCTATAACATGTAAGGAGCTAAGTGGCTTCATTAGGTGGATCTAGTTGGTGCAATAAAATTCTGGTTCTTTAAACGTATTAGATTAAAACAGTTAAAAAACGGTTTCTTCTCAGAGTTAACAGTTCGAAAATGATTTTATTTATGGTTTTATAACTGTTTTGTTTGAATATGGTAAAATAACAATTAAATAAATTGTTATTTAATCATTTTATTCCGAGAAATTTCTAATAGTGTACTTTTTGCTCCCCAAATCAAGAAGAGTTTGAAAATATTATTCTTTCTGTTATTGTTTTCTGCCTTAAATATGATAACTTAAGTTCTTAAATGTCATTAGCTCCTTGAATTCGTATACTAATGACTATTTCAGTGAATTATTCTAATCAAATCTTCGATGCAATTCAATTATCTATCCGTTGAAAGGAAAGTAATTCATCATGATACCCGGGAACTTTTCATCGCCAAAATTAGACGCCATTAATTGCAGCTTCTTTTGAATATCTTTTGAATAAATTACATATTCAGTTTCGGGTAATGACTTAAAGTGGTGATTGATTAAGCGAATTCCAAAAAACTATTATTTCGTAAGACTTCCGAAAAATCATTATATATGCACATAATATTCAAGGCTGGATTATAATCGATTTTTAAGAACATTAGTGAGTTAGAAGTCAAAAAAAGAACTTTTTTAAAAAAAATATTCGAACATTTTTTTCTTTTTATTCCTTAGCATAAAATAAAATAATCTTGTGTCATGAATTGGATGATTTAATGACCTTTTGTGTTACTTAGAGAATTTAACCAGGGTTTCATAACTATCATTTTTCGTTTCAAACTTGCTAAAATATTCTAGTTAATCTATTATTATACTTGATACAATTTTATATCGCGTTATGTAACTTAATATTGGTAATACGATGTCTTAGTCACTTATTTATGATTATATTTTTTTAAACTTATCGGCTATATTAATTTCTATTATTAGTATTTTCAGTTGATTTTTTTTTAAAATCAAATATTCTATACAACTCAATTTCACATACGTTGAAACGAATGTAATTCATCATGTTTTTTCGAAAGTAATTTATCATGTTTCACAATTATTATTCTATTAAAATAAATTTAGTGGTAAGCTTAGAGATTACTTTTTTGAAACTTATTATCATTTTGATGATCGGTCTAATTTTTCGAGTGATGCATTAAGTTTTTAAAACATTTAATTAAGATTTAATTAATTAAGAAATATATTTACATTTTAGAATATTATATTTGATTTTTCAGGCAATATAGATGAATTAATGAATACTGAGTGGTTGACAAACTTATCTGAATCATAAATTTAAGTATCACTCCACCCCCAATTTATTCCAGTGCAAGTTTCGGTGCCGCTGATTTGCTTCAAAATAATATTTATCTTATGTATGAACGACAGAGTATGATACTGTAGTGTATCATTTAAAGATGTTTGTCGTCGTAATGCATTTTAACGAATAGTATAGTATTTTCATAACGCTAGTGAATCTGTAACTGTTATTCATGACTGTTAGGTTAGGTTCAGCATGACTATTAGACTCAGCCATAAAATAACGCATTTCAGCGAATAGTATATTATTTTCATAACTGTTTTGAATCTGCAACTGTTATTTATGACTGTTNAAAACAAAACTTACAACAGTTACTTTTCTCAACAACTGAAATTTAGAATAGTGTGATTAAGAAAAATATGTAAACTGTTTTCAATTTCAAATTAATATTGAAATACACAGGTTTAGAATTTTCTACAGTGAAAAGTTTTCGGAACTTCTTTTTCAAAAGAAGTATACAAAAGCTAGACGTTAAGAACGTATCCAATGAGCGAGCAAAGCGAGCATCGGATTGCGAAGCAATCCGAAATGAACTGCGAAAGCAGTTCCGGGGGTTGGCGAGCGCCAGCGAGCAGGGGGCGAAGCCTCCTAGTAGTATATTTTTTTCATAACTGTTTTGAATCTGCAACTGTTATTAATGAATGTTCAGCCATGGAGTAACGCATTTTAGCGAATAGTATACTATTTTCATAATTGAAGCGAATCACTGTTATTCATGGCTGTTAGGTTCAGCTTTTAGCTAGTGCCTTTTATACTAATTATAAAAATAGCACAGGAAAATAGAGAAAAGTTACAATTACTCACAACATTAAAAAGAGCTTCTAATCTAGCACAACATTTACAAACAACGTTTTTCAAACTTATAGAAATTTGCAGAAATAGAAAACTATTCATTGATTTTAATAAATTTTAACTAGACGGTGAAAATAACCCGCCAAATTCACGATTTTTAAAAAAAATAATTCATGTCTTTTTATATATTTAAGGTTGTTCTTCCTTTTAAATTTTTTCATTTTAACGTACAACTTTATGTCGAGATAGTATAGTTTAAAATTATAGCGGTCATTATAGTTTAAGGTTTTGTAGCTTTTTTTATTTTGCCCGGTGACAAAACTTCGAAGAACACCCTTAAAATACAATTTTTTTTTCTTTTTTGTAATTTCATGCAATTATTATTTTAGGCATCTAAACCTTTGATGGAAAAAAGAAGACGTGCAAGAATTAATCACAGTTTAGCCCAGTTAAAATCTCTAATCATTGATCCGAACACAACTGAAGTGAGTAACTTTTTTTTTAAAAATTTTATACCTTAATTTTTCATGAGAAATTTAAACATTAAGATTTTTTTAATTAAAATTTTTTTATTCGTCTCTAAATATTTCTTTTATATTCATTCTATTACTGTTTAAAAAACTCATTCAAAAAGCCATTGAAATCCAATGTGGTTAGAGGCTGCATTTTTCAGAAATAAAATATCACCTTTGTGACAGCCATTGGATAATAAAATAAAATTGCGTTTCCACCAAATCCATAACTTAATTTAAACTTGAAAGAACGTAAACGTAAAAAGATGAAAGTTCAATATTTAGCATTTAACACTAAAACAGCCCACAAAGCTTTTTAACTCAACCCCTGAACTGTTTAAATATTAATATGAAAGAAATAAAATATTTTTACACGTATTCTGTAATTAGAAGTTACTGATATCTTTTAGAAGTACTGTAAGTTACTGGTCTAGAAAACTACTATAGTAGTTTTCTGAGTATCAGATGGTAACCATTTTGTTCCACAAGTTTTCAGTTTCCACAGTTCACAGTTCAGTGTTCGCAGAGAACGAATTTGTGCACATAACTTTTCTCGTTCGAATTTGTGCACATAACTTTTTTCATTCGAATTTGTGTACATAACTTTTTTTGTTCGAATTTGTGCACATAACTTTTTTCATTCTAATTTGTGCACATAACTTTTTTTGTTCGAATTTGTGCACATAACTTTTCTCGTTCGAATTTGTGCACATAACTTTTTTCGTTCGAATTTGTGTACATAACTTTTTTTGTTCGAATTTGTGCACATAACTTCAGAGTCATTTTAAGGGAAATTTGGTTTTATGAACTGACATCTCGCAAAATTTTTTATCGTTAAAACGGACCCTTAACAAAATATTTTTCCCGTAAAAATGGATCTTTCGCAATTTTTTTTATTTTATTTAAAATGGGCCGTTTTCAAATTCATCTATTAAAAAACTGATATTATTTATTTTTCTTATTTTTCCAATAAAAGCTTTAATACAAAATGGTTATTAGTAAATTCGAATTTTAAGATCTTAAAAAAGTAGTTTTTACAAACCATACTACACTATGTAACGAAAAATTTTATAATATTTAACGGGGAAAAATAAATTTAATAATAATATTTCAAACTACATCTCATTAAATCAGTTTATTTTAAAATCATTTTTTTAAAATCGTTTTTTTTCTTCCAAATATAGTAAGTTTTTTTTAAAAAGTATATAATTAATTTAAGTAATTCATTCGTGAAATATATAATTAAACTATTTTAAAAAATGTCATTTGGAATGATTTTAAATTTAATTGGATATTGGTATAATTTATTGCTCTATATAGTATAACATATTTGAAACTATTAACGATGTGTTATAGTGAATTATTGAAAAAAATTCATATTAAAATCTAATAATTAACGAAATTTGTTTTAAAGATAACTCTCTCATGTTAAAAATATTTAAATTAATAATTACAAGCGACTATCTGGTTAATAAATTACTTATATTTTCAGAAATCAAGACAATCAAAGCTTGAGAAAGCTGACATTTTAGAATTAACAGTTCGCCATTTACACGAAATAAAACGACGTCAAAGGACAGGTAATTATTTTTCTACTTTCTCCATCACAAACATTTCAAACTTCTTCCAAATTACTCAAATTAAGTTCAAAATTATTTAAATACATATTAGAATATTTTAGATGAAATAATATTTTATTCTTAATAATGTCTTTTTCCTTACAATTGTAGTATATTATTAAAGCAATAATGCCTCTTATTTCTGTATATTTAATTAAAAATATTAATGCTTTTATTTTCTTAAGAAACAGTTATTGAGTAAAATTTTTTAACTCAAAATAAGTTACAATAAAACCGGTGAATTTAGATGATTTTTGATTTTAGACAGTACTTAATTTGCCATTTAAACTTTTTATTGGGAAATACTTTTTAAAAAATACAGGATAATTCAATTATTTTTATTTTAATAAATTTTAAGACATTGTTCATCCACCGTAAGAAGATGATTGATTTTTGAAACGTTAATTGCGATGTGGAGATATCATTGTAAGGTAGAAATATGTAAGCGTTAGTTTTTTTACAGTCGTAATTTTTTTTTTACACCCATCCGCTTCTACAATTTACCTTTAGTTTCAGTACTAAACAACTATGCATACCATGCGTACGATACTGTAAAAAATTACGGTAAAAAGTATCGGTACTCAGAGTGCCAGTATTTTTTACCTTAATATGCGTTTTTTACCGGAACATGTTACGGAACAAAAAATTTAAAATATTGTAATTTTAATCGTAATAATTACCGTAAAATCACTGAATGACTCTAATTAAATAAATATTAATATAAAAATTACGGTATAATATTTTACGATAAAAATGGATTTTATGAATGATGTACCCAAAGTGCCGGTGCTTTATACAATACAGTGTATGATCAACTATGTGTACTATAACGTATTCTTCAATCGTCTTCTTATGGTAGAGGGACAATACGTTTTTTATATATGCTTAAATGTGTACAATTTTAAGATGATTTAATTTAAAAATTCTTCGAAAAATTCATTAGAATTACTAGTTAATGACTTTTTTCTTTGCATACGAAATTATCTTTATGATTCCTTGGAAGGTAATAGTAATTCAAAACATCAATATAACGTTAAGAATATAATTAATGAAAATGTCTATCTTTAATGTCATATACAGATTTATCTTTTAAGACTAAGTAGCTACCAGACTCAATATTTAGGGAAACATTCGATGTTAATAAACGCTGTCATTTCCAAATGAAATAGTAATACCCACTGAATAAAATAATGAAAATCTGACTCATCATAGCGATCATATATAATGAGTCAGATATCGTATTGATAATTGTTGAAACATTTTGAATCGCGTTGAAACATGATGAAATTAAAATTTGCTGCAATCTTATAATGATGTAAAGTTGGACCATATTATCGTATTTCAAAACTTTAATATTACTACACTAATTTGTAATTCTAAAAAACTGTATTTTCTTACAAATTTATTTATAAAGAAACTAATAACTTTTTAAACTGTCCTGATCGAGGCCCTAGGCAGCTACCTAATTATAAATTCGCCTCTGATAAATCATATCACTGAATAAAGAATAATCACATTTTTTAAAGATAATAAAGACTTAAGCGACACAGACAGCTCAATTATATACCATTTAGAATAAATTAAAGCCTTTCTTTTTTAGATAACTTGATGGACCCTTCTATAATGTTATAAACTTTAAATTATAACTTTCATGAGATAAGCACTTATCATTCACATTTTTAATGAAAGGGTTTGGCTGTGGGAATACTGAAGTGCCAGATATAATGTTTTTACAATTTATGAGCCTCATTTTACCATGTTTGCAGTTCGAAGCATATCAATGGAGGGTTCTATGAGTATAATTTACTTGTAAATTAAAAATGACTTCAGTTCGCAAATCCATCATAAATTTATTGTTGTATATTGAGTTGAATCCTATATGGCGTTCTGAATAATTAAATGAAACAAGTAAATCAACTTGAGGAGGTAGTTTAAATGTAGAATAAAATAAATAAATGATCTTAAGTTCTTAAAAAGTGATTCCTTGTATATAATAATGCTACCGTTGATAAATGTGCGTAAGTAAATGCTTAAGATTTTTTTCTACTTTTAAACATCAAAATAATGAAATTTCGAACTTTTATTTTTATACTTTCAAATGTGCGCAGCCCTTGCTAAGAAATTTCGGTATATTCTTCGAGATCTTAGTAAAATTTTGTTGTCGTGTAACTTCGAATTCTTAAGTGTTTCGAAAATTTGTTGTTTTTCATTCAGTTAAGGAAGCATTAAATAAATGCATCACCCGAGCCTAAATAAAATGTAAACCTCGCCCTTGGATTATTTTAATATTTGGCCCTGTATTACTTAAATTTTGCTCCTATGGTTTTACTGTGTAGTTTATTTGAACAAGTCTCTTTGTTGAAACTATTAAATGTTAACAGAAATCTATTTAAAGATATTTGGCTACAGTCATGATATAATTCGTCGCTCAATAATACCTCTAATAATAAATTAATATAATTAAATTTTCTCTATATTGCAAAGAATAAACAAAAAGAAATGCAGTTAAAACTTTAAGAATAATTATTCAACTGGTAAAAACAGGGAAGTTTCTTATTTTTTTAGCAATCCCTAATAATAATGCCCTCTTCAAAGGCAGTCCTTATCGTTTAATTGAAACAAATAAGATTTCTAAAACATCTAATTTATTATTTTCATATAAAATTAGCTTAATCTACTTTGAAAGAACATTTCACGAAAGAACATTTCACGAAAGAACATTCAAAATATTTTTTTGCCAATTTTACATTACGTGAACGAGTTGGTATTCAATCAAAACATTGCCAGACTTGTATCACTTAAATAAAATCTCACATCGGCAAAATATTGCTATATAGTGAATATCGTTGAAATACAGCATTGTATTGGATGCTTTCTGTAGACATGGGAGTTGATTTTTGTTTGTATGTGCTATTTTGGTCTTAAAATTATTATGAGATTCATTAAAGTAAGCGTAAACGATTATTGATAAGGAGACCTTTATTAATTTGTGATGCTTTACTATGTTCACTAAAAATGGCCTGTAGTACCAAAAGTGGCATAACACTAACATTTGTTTTTCTTTAAACTTAAAAGGTTTCTTTTTATTTTATTTTACAGTAAGCTTATTGGAAGGCCGCAATCCTAGACGAAAGTTCGAAATTGGTTACACAGAATGCGCACGTGAAGTTGATCTCTTTTTATCTAGTCTGGTTGATTCAACAGTTAACTCAGAATTACACAGACGACTCACGCAACATCTAAGTCGTCGACTACATGATTTGAAAAATATCGAACCCATCAAAGAAACCGTCAACACGTGCGAGACTGAAGAATCATCGATATCATCTTCTTCCCACACCAAGAACTCAGAAAACCAAACGGTGCTTCCAGAACATTACCCTCCATCTGAACCAGGTATTCAAGCAAAAACACCCGAAAAAGAAAATTTCTATAAACATTATACAAGTGAGTGTGATACAACTGCTACCAATTTGTCAACTTCATTATCATCCTCAAATAATATAAACTTATTAAAAGAACAAAGTACGGGACATAGCCAAGTTTCAAGTTCTTCAGCGGAATCAATAACATTCGATGAATCGAATGGTTACCGTTCAACTTCATCGTCACCGAATGTATTTGAGCCAAAAGAATTGCCAAGAATGATTGAGGCATGCGATCCTTTCGATGGGCATCCTAAAACACCAATTGAAACCATTGTCAGCAGCGAGTTGGCGTTACGTGAGAAAATGCACCAGAATTTTAAGCAGATACCTCTAGTTCCGAAACATTTGCCAAATGGCGAATGGGCGTTAGTCTTACCGCATGATATGACAGAAAACGAAGTTCAAAACTTCAGTGCTTTCAAATTGGTTTTGCCTTCTGCCTTTCCTGATCTAGAGCAGGAGAGACTTCAGCCTGAACCACTCAATATGTCTAACACATCAAACTCAGAAAACGAAATGAACTCAGACCAATATTTTTCACGAACATATGGTGAACCGTCGAATAATTTTAGATTCAGAGAAAATTTTGATTGTAATTTAAATTCTCAATGCGTTTGGAGGCCATGGTGACTCTTTAAGACAGGCGATTTAATTTGAAATATTGATTGAGATTCTGTTTCTTTTGAATCGATTGTTTTCGTGTGGTGTGTAGATGTCGATGCATTTTTGTTGACACTGTGATCGTTTTTGCAAACCAGATTTCCGTCGTGCTCCAATTTCATCTTTCACCTTGTCAGCAAGCTGAATTACCTTTTAGTTAAAATTTCAAAATGAGGGAACACTTGGCAAACACTGAGTGCGATTCAGACAATGCATAGAATGTGACTAGATTCCGGAGATCGACATTCAGGAGATCGACAGTTTGATGTGCGATAAGAAGGGAAGAATGCCTAAATTCTTACTCAACATTCTTCTTCTTCAGTTTTGAAATGTTGATCAGAGTTTTATCACTTTATCAATGTTTCAAATCTTTTCATACGTCAATATTTCTTGTGATTCCAACAGATATAAAGTCAACATATTCCGACTTTAAATGATTCTGCTCCGAAACGAGGTGGAAAATGAGATTTAACGTTTTTTCAAGAACGTTGCGGAGAGCTAGTAGGATAAGAGTATACAAAAACTGTCGTAGCGTATTTAAAAATGCATCAGTCAATGTGCAGCAAAATCGACAAACCTTTGAAATGATGTAAATATTACGGAAAATGGACGGCATTTGTAGCCTTGTGTAATAGTAACCAGTGATATAATCAAAAACAAAAAAACTGTTACTGAAAAATTAATTTCCTATTGATATTTTTGAAATAATTAAAGTGTATTTTTAAAAATTTATGATAAATTGTTGCAGGCATTATTTTTTAAGAATGACAGTATTTAAAATTTCTATATGAAAACTGATTAAAATATATTTTATGTAGATAAAGAACATCCTTTGATATAATTGAAAAAGTAACCTGCATAATGTCATCAATTAATACTTTACACGGTGAAATAATAAAATGTATTTAATATGATCTATTTTTGATATAAAAGTTACACGCTAATTGGAAAAGTAACCTGCATAATGTGATCAATTAATACTTTACACTGTGAAAAAATGAAATATATTTAATATGATCTATTTTTGATATAAAAGTTACACGCTAATTGAAAAAGTAACCTGCATAATGTCATCAACTAATACTTTACACTGTGAAAAAATGAAGTATATTTAATATGATCTATTTTTGATATAAATGTTAATCGCTGCATGTGCGTAATCTATTTATTAAAAAATATTTGTTGTTAAAATATTTATGGAGACGGTATGATGTATTTATAGTTATTATATATTTTTACTAATGCTATTTTAATTATTATATCTATAATAATTGAAAAAATTTTCGTTCTATAAAGTGTGAGTGCATTTGCATGCGTTTTGAAATATTTAAAATCAAATTACAAAATCAAAATGTTATCTTGTTACATGTGTGATTTATGTTATTAAATTATTATTTTTTTAAGGAAAATTTTTATTGGTGTAATTTTTTAGATGTTAGTTATTTCAAAACTGTTATCATCAATAACTTTTAATTGCAAACGACATTTCCGTGGTATATCTTTTACTGATACTTCTGGAATGTGAATTATGAAATCATGTTCAACAAGCACCGTAAATTCTAGAACGTTAATACTTTTATAATTAGTCCCAATGCGACTTTTTTTGATGAAATAAATTATTTTAATGCCAGGTTTATGGATAATTCTTACAAAATACTCGTACTTTGAATAGTACGTGATTCATAAGTGAAAGTAGACATTACAAAATAAATAAATAAAATAAGACCACTTATTGCTAAGCACCTCGGAATGCTGTAGGCATAAAAGGAATTATATTGCCAACGACAACGCCATACTTTTAAATGTAAATTTATTTTATTTTTTACTAATTTTATATATGTGAGATTTTTCATTGGGATTTTTTCGAAGGAGTAAAATAGTTAAAATTAAATTATATTAATGCCATCTGTATAGCTAATTCGTACAAAATACGGTACTATGAATAGTACAAATTCAAAAGTATGCATTGTAAAGAAAGGGATAACTTGTTAAAAGCCATGTAAGCATCTGATGTATGCGTAAAAAAAATTATTTGCCAATCGACAAAGCGATACTTTTAAATGCTTTATTATTTTTTTTTTCTAAGTGAGAATTTTTATTGTGATTTTTTGATGGATAAAAATAGTTTAAAATTAAATTATTTTAAACCCAAGTTTATGCCTAATTTCCAGAAAATACATGCTCTTTGAATGATACTAATTCCTAAGTATGCATTACAAAAAAAAAAAGGATCACTTATTGTAAGAGGTAAGCCCCTATTAATGCTGTAGAAAAAAAAAGAATCATATTGCCAACGATCAATGTTCTGTTATTGAGTGTTCAATTTTTTTCAATATTTTCATTTAAGTGGAAATCTAATCTTATTATCTAATTATTTTTATCTAATTGATTAAAATAGTTCAGAACTACGAAGTAATTTAAAACCCATCTGGTTAGACTAATTCTAACAAAATACTCGTCCTTTAAATGGCACTAGTTAAAAATTATGCGTTAAAAATAAGGACAACTTACTACAAGGCATATAAGCAATTGGAAATGCTGTATGCATGAAAAAGATTCATATTGCCAATACTTTTTCTTTTGGATGTTCATTTCTTTTCATAGTTCTTTAATGCTATTATTCTTATTGTTAAATTAAATTATTTTAAAACCGATTGTAAGTCTATGGCTAATTAGTATAAAATGCGCGTACCATGAATGGTACGTAATCCATAGGTATGAAGACTTTAAATGNTTTTCTTTTTCTTTACAAAGCTGTACATTGAGATAGTTTCTTGACCCCAACTTCATTCATTTTTGTTTATCCCTCATTGCCATGCGCCAGTTCTAACATTCATAAAAAAAATGTATTAAAAAAAAGTTGTATATTATACTGCAATATTGAAAATAGAGAGTCCTTCAAAACTAAATGCATAAAAAATATTGTTATGGGACGGGGACTTGCCTGGGGAAGGGGGATATCATCTGACAAAAAAAGAACCGTTTTCACTTTACCAGCAGCAGACGATACTTTGCAAAAAGAAGGTAGGAAGGAGGGTCTTAAAAGGAGGGAGGACTACCTGAAATCTTTTGATCTATCGTCTGCTAAATCTGTTCATGGGTGGACGAGTGCCTAAAAAATAAAGAGTCAGTGCACTTATAAAAAATAAATAAATAACTGCTAAGGTGTATAAAAACGGGAAGGTCGCGTAGCGGCAGGGGTCATGAAAAAATTCAGGTAAGGTGGAGGGGATAAAAAAGCAGACGATGTTTACCGAATGGAAGAGAAAGTGACCCCCGCATGCGGCTATGTGTTGACCACCTGCTTGCTTTCGAAAGGTGGAAAGTGCTTTACAGTAGAGTTTTTTTCCCCAATTTTTTTTATGTCGTGTTTACCGGAGCTGGAATCCTAAGGTGAAAGGGACACAGGTGAACAGTTATGCAAATCATAAGAGACAGTATATAATTATTAAGTATCAAGAAAAAACTATTAATTTTTAACAGATTTCAATAGAGAAGAATGAAATGGCTACCCAATATTATTCATAACACTATTTTAATCTGTCGTTAGCAAGGTAGGATGTTGATAACGTGAAAATTCTTAGAAAGTGCCTTAATAAGTGCCTTCTATCACTTTTTAATGTATGCTTTATAATATTAGGAAGTGAAAAACAACTCATATAATTTAAAAGAAAATTATTAAAACTTATCAACTTATCAAAAAGTTTAAAAATAAGAAAAATGTAACGTCAGTCCCCATTGAATTGCCCAAATATGCAATTTATGAATAAAATAAAATATTAATAAAGTCCTGAAAAAGATAAATGAGAATTTATTAATTTTTTATTTATAATCTTTAAAAACAACTTTGTTCAACATCAACACTCGTTATTAGGGAGGATTTACAGTGTTTATGAAAAAAGAAAAATATTAATTTCCAAGCAAAATTTTCTTACAATAAAAAATAGCATTCAAAATTCAAAAATAAATAATTCAAAAATGGAAGAAAAAAAAAAGAACTTGACGCCAGTCATATAAAGAAAAAAAAACGGTAAATGCAAAAAATAATAAGAAATAAATAAAAAATGCATTCATTATAAACATCTTTGCCCTAAACGTTAATATTATTTCACATTTAACAAATGTCACGCCCTTTTAGTTTTTTTTCCCTTCAGTTAACGTTATTTTATTTTATTTTTAAAATGTAACCATAAAGCCTTAGCAGTTACTGACAATATCAGATAATTCAGAATCATACAAGATCTGATTCAGATTTATACGTCATTTAAATTCATTATCTTTTTAAAATTACCAGCGAATGATAAAGCACTAAGCCATTAAATTATAATTAAATCATATTCATACACAGACAATGACTTAGAAAAGAGAAGAGAAATTATGTTGATTAGACTGGACTAAGTTCATGGTGCGGTACAGCCTTTTTTAAATTTTGTGACAAAAACTACAAAATATCTAACAAACAACGCATATTTTTCTTTTGAAAATACCCTTATATACCTTAATACCCCTTCACAGAATAAATTCACTCTCTTTAACTTCCATGCCAGCAAAGATCATGTTTTATAGCTTATTCTTAAACCCACATGATTTTAAACGCAGAGTAATTTCAAAATATCGCTTAGCATGTTTCTCATGTTAGCAGGTCTTTAATTTACAATATAAATATACCATTTTTCATTTAAAGACTTAACATGATAAGTTCATGCTCGATAATTACAGCCATGTCAGAATTTGAACATGTTCTTAAGCTCGCGTGATCTTAAACCATGAGATTCGACTATTTACAAAACGTAGCTTCTGAAGTTCTTCCACTAAGCTATTCGATTTCCAATGTAAAAGCAACATTTTAAATTTAAAGATTTAGAATAAATTCATGTACATTGCAGCCATCTCAGAATTGAAAATCAAATTCTGTAATATGTTCTCAAACCCTGAAATTAGAGTATCTTATCAGCCACTTAACAAATTTTTCGATTAAGCTCTTCAATTTACAATATGAACTTAAATCTCGCTTGTAGGATTTCGCTGAACTTAAANAAAAACTGTATTGATGGCGCTGTCATAGCTACTGACTTTGAAACACAAAGTCACTGCTTTGTTTATATCTTTCGAACAAAGTGTCTTACCTTTTCAAAAATTTGGAATTGATATCATTATTGATTATACTTTACACTGTTGAAATATAAAAAAAATTAAAAAAGTCCAAATTGCAAAAAAATATTGTTTTTTTCAAAAAATGAATTTTTGTTGTTGTTAAAAACAAGAAATTTTACATTTTAATGTTGATTTTCTTAAAATTTGAGAAAAATTACTTCAAGAAAGTGTATTTAAATATTTTTGTTGTTGGATGGCAATACGTTAAAAAATAACTTGCAAAGTCGTGTGCTCAAAAAAGCGAAATTTTCAAAAATTCGTATAGTCAAAAATATGCAATTTAAACAAAAACGCAAAAATACGTGTCGATTTATTTTCAATAAAGAACAATAAAAAAAATAAATTATATCATTTTTGTATCATGGGGGTAAATTTTTAATGGATTGCCCCTTAATTATTTGTTTTAGAATTAAAATATTTTTAGTAAAAAAATTTTATAGCAATTT